TCGAAACTTTGGCAGGTAGATAGATACTGTGGGTAGCCCGCCGGGTATGTTTCGTCAGTTGCCTCACAATCGAGTGTGACCCGACCCAACAGGGCCACAGCCCTCACGCTTCGTGCTGGCCCGTCCCGCCGTGCATTGCATAAAGTTGAAGTAAATGTCGCAGGTAGCAGTCTCTGTAAAGGAGGTGTACGTGTCTCACCTTCCCCCCGGAACAGAATAGCCGTATGAGGAGAAGTCTGGTACTTATGAGCGAGTTGTTCTGATCGTCAGTAGTGCATTCCCTCGCCCGGCTGTACACGTACGTATACATCACCACACCTTCACATCGGAGGGAGGTGGTTACTTCCCTATCAGCCGTTCTATTTACGGCCCTACCCCAGTACTGATGCGTCAACTCCAATGTCACGCCAACGACTCGCTACTCGCCTTTTCCCTGCACCGACGAGCAGAATATAAGCACCACTCGGCAGAAATAGCCGCCTAAGAGGAAGCCGACACGCTAGAGGTTTGCACCTAGGGGCCAGTAGCATTCTCTTTTTTCTTCTTCTTTTTTTTCCTTCCCTACCTTTTACTGCCATATCACCCCTTCATCATCCGGCGGCTAATACTGGATGCCTTCCTGAGCAAGGGGGTGGCCGACTGAATATATGTATGACGCTTATCAAGATGGACGCTGTGGATGCAATAGGAAGCGTCGCATAGAGATCGCCAAGGTGACCTTCCAGGCTAGATTGGGTGGGCCTGTGCCATCGGAGGAGCGTTCAAGGGTTGACTCGGTCCCCAATGCTACGCATCTGGCCTCTTCGGAAAGGCATGTGTCTACCTCGATCAGGTACACGGCGTTCCAGAACCGGAGACACTCTACACCTGGCTAAGTGGGTTAGTAACCTCGGTGCTTGATGACAATACATTGACGGCAGTACGGGTAGGTGCTGCAGAAGCACAAAGGACAATAAGCAGGTAGATAGTGCACTGTAATCCATGGCATGGACCCCTGCTCGGTCATCTATTGCCTCCCATATTCAGGAGTACTATTTTGAGCCCGGTCAATACTATTTGGTGCGGGGGAATACCGCCAGGGAGGGTGACAAGTGAGGCTACGAAGTCGTCTTTCCTCTTATGCCAAGACCTCCCGCTTTTTACAGCTCATCTTTTCCCTTGGGAGGAAGGCGGGACACCAAGAATTCCTCAACCTCGTTCAGCTCTTCCAAGCAGGCAGCATGCTCCATACCTCTTTTTGACGAGTGTTAGCTTGTTTCGAAGCCGAGAGTGCCGTCCTCTCCCAGAAGAGGCAGCTAGCTGTGACACTCACCTGTATGTCTTGAAGTTGACATCATATCCCAAACTCGTGAGCTTCTTTTCGCTCTCCTGCGCAAGTGAGTAGACTACCACCTGATCACTGTCACCATGGCCCATGAGAATGGGTGTTGCCTTGTTGACATCTCCTTTAGGCACGAGCTCCGCAAATGTTTGGTGTAGAAGCAGCCACGACGACAGGGCGACGATGCCACCAAGCTTGACCTTGGCAGTCAAGCCAGAGAAGATGCTCATGGCTCCGCCTTGGGAAAATCCACCAAGAACAATTCGCTCTGAAGGGACTCCGGCAGAGATCTCGCTGTCGATGAGTCCGTGGATGTACTCCTGCGTTACAGTGATTCCGGGGGCATCCTCTTGGCCGGCTCTCCCCTGTAGAGATTTGGCGGCAATCCCAAGGGTTTTCTAAGCCAATAGTCAGAACCTTACAGCAGAGAAGCTAGCATCAACTCTCGGCACGAAGAGCATACCACATCGAACCAGCCAGGCATTGGGTAACCGCCATTCTACCATAGGATGACGCGATTAGTTGACTGGGATCCAAGGAACGGGGTTTAGGCAATGGTAGGCAATAGATTTATTACCACAGTGATGGGGATGGTCGGTGCGTTTGGCAAGATGAACTTGATCTCATCCAAACGTCGCTTCCTGCGGATTTGTTCAATTGTATCAGCCCAACCATGGCCCGTGTCGCCGAGCCCGTGGCAGAATATCACCGTGGCTGTATGGCGGCCAATGGCGGGCAGTACCACGGGAGCGGTACGGCGGAGAGAAGACATCTTGACGGGCTGGAATAAACTTCGTAAAAGTCAATTTCGGGATCTAGCTTTGGGGTGGGATAGATTCAATCGAACATCGAATTGACAAGCTCTCTGTATATCCGACACGGGTACGGTAAATATTCGGGCATTTTGAGGAGTGAAGAAGGTGCTCAATTTATCCTGGAAGCTGCTACCCCACATCTGATTCCCCGATAAGATAAGCGAGCCAGACCCCTGAACTACCTCCAGCCTAAGGTACAGAGAGACGGAGGATTCCAACAACTACCTAGTTAAATAAGAGGTTAAAGAATTCGCCCTCTAGACATTCAGATATCGCCTTGAGATGATTATTCAGCGAAGACCACTTCCATGGATTTCTAGCATGCGATTCACTTTGTATTTCGGCGGGTAGGGCAAGTCTTTACGGCACGAAACGACCAGCATCTCAATATTGAATAACTAAAGCGAGGTCGAAGCAATTCTCAAGCCTATTTAGCGCTCAGGACCACGGGCTGGCCGTTGTTCACATTGACGCAGACCCTGCCATTACCATCCGAAGTATAGGACCCGCTGCCAAAAACGTCGTTCCACGATCCATTCGAACGGCCAGTGGTGAAGCAATACTGCCCGTTGAGGTTGGAGCCGCGGTTGGAAGTGAAGACGATGAGATCGCCACCCGCTCGGCTCCAGGCGTATATTCCGTCTTCGGTGTTGAGGTGGACGTGGTCGTTGTTGGGGAGGCCACCGTGTGCTGATCGCGCACCAGAGAGGCGCGAGATGGCGCCGTACAGGTCCGCGTTGGTGTTGAAGCCGCTGCGCCAAAGGTCCTCCCGGTTCTGCGGATCAGCACCACCGCCGTAGCCCTGCTCGCTGCCGTAGTAGACGATAGGAATGCCACGAGCGAGGATGACAAAGGCCAAGGCGTTCTTGAACAGGGTGACGTCGTTCTTCTTGTTGAGCCATCGAGGGTTGTCATGGTTGTCGAGGAAGGTTCCCAGTGTCGTCGGATCGGAGAATTTGGCACTAACCGTGTCGATCATGTTGGCAAGGTCCTTCGAGGATCCCTCCTGCTGGTAGAACCGGTTCATGGGGTAGTAGACGGCATAGTTGAGGAGACCTCCCATGAGGTTGTCATATCCGGCCAGGTAGTCGGGGTCGCCGTGGAAGACTTCGCCAATGGTGTATACTCCGGAGGACCAGGCAAAATCGGGCCAGAAACTCTTCGACACGTGCTTGACAGTGTCGATGCGGACGCCGTCGAAGTTGTACTCCTTGACAAGCCATCCCACCCACTCGTTCAAGGCCGCTTTCACCGAGGAATCCTCGGTGTTGATATCTGGAAGTCCGGAAATCCTGCACTGCTCAATACTGTTCTGGTTGTCGTAATTGATATCACACGAGGCGTGGTAGGAGTTCGCCTGGTTGAGCGGCGCGGGCTTGTATGTGCTGATGTCACCACTGCCCATGTGGTTGGCAACAACGTCAACCATCATGTAGATGCCCTTGTTATGCGCTGCGCTGACCAAGTTCTTCAAGTCGTCCGCAGTTCCGTACTTGGAATTGACGGAGTACAGGTCCTTGGCCCAGTATCCATGGTAGCCACCATCGGTGTCTGGCAATGAGAATTAGCATGCTCAGATGATCTCGGCTGATTTGACGATTGGTTCACTCACTCTCCACGACGGGTGTTATCCAGATGGCATCAAAACCCATGCCCTTGATGTAGTCGAGCTTGGACTGCAGGCCCTGGAACGTGCCACCACAGTAGTTCCCAAGATTGCCACAGGCACTGCCGCCAGTGTCCGAGCTGCTTTTGGCAATGCGGTCTGTCAGGGCAAAATAGATGTTGCGAGACTTCCATGACTGGGTGTCGGCCGCATGGGCGCCGTAACCCAAACAGAGGGCCGAAGCGAGCAGTGGTGAGATGAACTTCATTGTCGTGTTGTCAACTATATGATGGACGGTTGGCTCGATGGTTCTTGATGCCGGCAAAGAGAAGGCGAAAGGGCGTCTTATAAACTTATAAACAAGCGGAAACGGTATCCGTGAGATGTGGTGAGAGAATGTGATGGGCTTGCGTGTGACCCAGACTGCCAACCACGAGCTATTCACTCACGAGACTCGATTGACCAGCAAGTGAAGGAAGGATAAAGTGATATCGGTCCGAGAGGATGCCAGCTGGTAATTATCCAGAGAGCTACCTACCTACGGGGAATCATACAAGAGGCTATTGGACCAGGCCGGGGCGGTAGATGACATGCCGGCCCGGCTCGGTCAATATATAGCAACGATGGGCGGTAGTGCATGCGTGATGAGGGCAGAATGTGTGTGGATGTGCCGAGTTGCTCCTCCACAGGGTTGAAACAGGCCTAATTAAAGCCAGTGTCCTGCCTCTTTAGGCATCTGCAGGTTTCACCCACGGCTGCAAATGGAGACTCAGTGCCCTGGCCGTCAGCAATTCCAAACACTTTCATGCCTTACCCAGTGCCTGGTGGTGCAAGATCGCCGCCACACCTAATTTATGTGCCTGGGAGGCCATGTGCGTCATACGCAATCCTATCCTCATCCTGCTGGCAGAGCCCCATCGCCATGGTCCGTGGTGGGCATAGGGGCATTGCCTTGTGGGTTATCGTCACCCAGCTTCCTGGTACAGACTTGTCTTGTTGGAATCCTGATTTCGGGTCCGGGAGGCCTGCTTATCCGCAAGACGTGTCTAAATGGAGAGATATTATTGGGAGCGAAACTAGGTGAAGCTATTCTTGTTTGCATTAACCGTCTCAGCAGAGCCACTATCAATCGATCACCCTATAGCTACTGAACCCCGCTTCTTCATCCTTCATCTCTCGTCGTTCCGATCTAAAGCAAGCACCTCCTTTCCATAACTCTTAGAAATAAAGGACAGCCCTGGGATTTCTTGGTATGCAATCAGGACTGTGTGAGCTCGTCCTCGTCCTCGTCCTCGTCGAGCGAAATAACCAGCGGTGCCTCCTCGGGCTCTTGTCCCAATGCCACCTCCTCACTCTCCACCCCCTCATCCACCAACCCATGCTCGCTCAGCATCACAGACCGTCCGTTGTTACGCTCTCTGACGAGCGCATGCGCGTGGTGCGTTGACATAATGTGCCAGTGGTGAACCGTCAACCGCTGTCCGGGCCGATTCACACGCCCGATGAGCTGCTCGCGCTCTCGGTTCGAGAATATCTCGCCGAACTGCACCACGTATGAGCAAAAAACAATGTCAACCCCAACTCCAATCAGTCGTGGTGTCGTCACCAGTATGTATGTCCGGTCCGACTCGGCTGCTTCCTTTTCGATGCTCCGTAGAAGGGTGTCGCGCCCGGCCGGTTTGGGAGTCACTGACTGGAAGATGCGCTTCGCTCGCGTGATGTGCTTTAGCTCCGGGTCCTCCTCGATGAACCGCACGATGAGGCCAACGAGCACCGGCGTCTGCGCAACAAGCAGGATATGGCATGGGCCCTCGCTGTTTGGTGTGGAATCGCCCTTGGCGTGACTTTGGTCCTTGCCTCCTCCATGTGCCGTCTTGATGATCTCGGTCAATTTCTCGGCCCATTCGTGTCCTCGATGGAAGTGAAGAGTCTTCCTCAAGATGCCGTTTTCTCCCAGCCGAAAGTCCTCGTCCACCCACCTCACTGACGTTGGGAGCAAGTGGCCATCCTTTCCCTCGAGGATTGCTGCGAGCCCAGGGGCTATGCTTGCGCTGAAGAACTGGGTAAATATCTTGATGCCCGTCACCTCCTCGAGGTGGAGATCTCGCCGTTTCTCCGCACGTAATACTGTTAGCTGTCTTCTGCAACGGGCACCCAGTCTCTCCACAGCTTTCGCTAGGCCTTGAGGGACAGACACCTGGACGACGTGGTGTTTAATTCCGGGGCGTATATCATGTAGGCATGTATCCAGGTAAGGGCTGCCCCAGTCTCTAGCAACCGTAAAAGGCCGGACAAACTTGGCAAAGTCTTGAGCGAATTTGGCCGTCGTATCATCATCTTGGGTCAGCTGTTTCTTCGCGCCGGCTGATTTCTTGGGCTGCAGCCTGCGAAACCGGGTCGCAAAGTTGGGCAACTCATGGAGAATCCTTTTTCTCTCGGCTTGGTTTCCGATGAGCAATCTAAGGCACGAATGTATATCGTTGGGGGAGTGCGAGAACGGGGTTGCTGTCATAAAGTACCATTTCGGTTGTTTGCGGGGGCTGATTCCTGACAAACGCTTGATATCCTCGAAGCTGTTGAAGAGTTGTGTCTCCTTGCTCGTGACTGAGTGACTCTCATCGAAAAAGAACAGATTGACTGAGATGGCAAATGGAATAATGACACGAATACTTGAGTCTGCATGCTCTTTGCCCTTCACAGCAACATTGGTTTTTTCCTGGTTGGGAAGAGCAGTCTGTACCCCGAATACACGCGCCAGAGCAGATGTTTGACGGCCGAGAGCTGTGAAAGATAGGAGAATGAGATACCGAAACTGCGCTTTACCTATCGGAGGTGCTTTGAAATAGAGACTGCCTGTATTTCCATAGGTGGCATACGCCTCTTGATACATGATTGGCTTTGAATCGTTCTTCTTGGCTTCTCCCCGAGTCTTTTTCGCGATTCGCTTCTGGGAGGAGGAAACTTTGGGCCAAGCAACCAGATCTTTCCTTTTGACCGCTTTCTCTTTGCCTTCTAAAGGGATCGGGTTGATTTGGCCTGTTTCTCGATAGTAGAGTGGCTCTACCAACTCCTCATCAACCGTCGACCCGCGAGCACGAAATGTGCGTTTGAAATACACACTTACTCGCCTTGCCCAAGCATCGAGATTGCTGGCTGGGACGGCAAAAACCGAAGGTCCATAGATGAGATGCTGGACATAATCATGTGTGATGCCTTCTGGAATGCAGACGCACTGGATACCATACATGTTTCCCGAGGGGCACTTCAAGCCCCTACGCTTTTCATCCCTCGGCAAATGCTTGTCAGGATATTGGCGTGCATGTCTGAGATTCAATAGAGCAAGCGACGTGACAGCAAAAAGTCCCAGTGCGCATATCGACTTGCCAAGCCCTACATTGTCCGCTAGAAGGAGTCCATTCAACTCTTCAGCCACACGATGGGCCTTCATGGCTCGGACGATGAAAGCCATTTGGTGAATCCGAAGGCTCTGGCGAGTGCCCAAGAGTAGCTTCCCTTCATCGCGCTTCTCGATGGGATGGTCCAAGACGGTGCATACTTCAGCCCAACTTTTCTGAGTCAAGAATGGCTGCTTGAACAAGAGTTGCTGTGCAGGTGCTATACGCTCGTCCCCGAGGCATTCTTCTTCCATATCATCGTCTAGTTCCCCATCACATGAGCTCTCTTCTTCGTTACTTGAGAGATCGATATCCATTTCAAGTACGCCATTGGATTCTTCTTCGCGGGATGGTGTCGTGGCCGTAGTTTTCGATGTCTGTTCTTGACTTTCAAGTATGGCTGGGATCAAGTTAGAAGGAGGTGCACTGATATCGCCCTCCTCAATTGAAGTAGCGGATGAAGCGCTCAGCAAGTCTCCTTCTGGGTATTGCTGGCCAGTTCTTTCGTCGCTGAGAAAACTGCCTTCTTCATGACCCGCATCCACTTGTTCGGTGTCCTCTTGTGCCCTGTCTGTCATAGACTCGTTGGAGATCAGATTGAGGCTCCCATTTTTGCTTCGATTGGAGCTGGGCTCTTCGTCATCTTCTTCGTCTTCTTCACTCCCCTCGTCCGACACACTTTCGTTCTCAGAATCTGATGACTCAGGGACCTCAGAATCGTTCCCACCAAATCCCGACTCTTCGTCACTAAAAATGTCTTGCTGCGATGGGATGGACTTGCTGTCAGAGTCGGATTCTTCTCCTGACAACGGAGTTACTTTGCCACTAGAAGAGGCTCCCTTTTCGCCTTGTTCAATTGTGAGCTGTTTTCGTTGCTGGCTGGAGTCTGATCCGCCAGTGATAAACGGGCTATTCTTCAAGTACTGAGGAGGGAGTGGTGCAATAGTGACGACTGGGTTACGGGGACATAGTCGGGGGTCCGCATGCTCCAGTAGATGATTCACGCCGATAAGAGCACTGTGCCATGTTGATTCCTCGTCGAAGAGGAAACTGCTGTCATCTAGACTAAGAACCCATTGGCTCACGTTCAGGTCCGCAACCCACTGGGCAGCCCAGCTTTGGAAGCGGTCGAAAGAAAACGCGTAGTGTCTGGCGCGATGGCCTGGCTTTGGTTTGTTCTGCTGGTCGAGAAAGGCCGAAAGAGCACCTATACGCTGACAACTTAGGACACGAAAGTCGCTATGAACTTCAAATATGACATCTGTCAGCTCCGGTGGTGAAAAGCGAAGGCGTCTCGGTGCGGGTTCTTGGATATCTTCGTGGTAGTCGCTCTCTCTGTGTCACCTGTCAGTAGGTGTTCTTCAAGCGCTGATCCAAATTCGTCATATAGAGCTAATACGGCTCTCACCTTCGTCGACGGGAGTGTGGCAATAGAGGCATGTTGATTGATCCTCCCGTTTTTCATCAAAGGACCAAAACGGAGATAGACCCTCCTCGATATTGTAAGGTGGTATGGGCGAAGTGGCGTGTTCGAGCTCAGGGCGTAAGATATAGCCAGCAAGTCAAGACGGTACCTGGTGAGAGGGGTTTGAGGTCAGATTATCTAGTAAATTCTTCCTGGTGGCGATGGTGATGAGATTGGGAATAGCACCGTTCACTTACCTGCTGAGAAGCCTGTTTTAGTTTGTTTGGTTTGATATCGAATTTGTAACACAAACTTTCGTGGGCTTTCTTTTGGGCAAAGCTTTGAGCACGGTGGTACAAGATGGTCAAAAGTGAGAAAGAAAAGAAGTTCTACCGCGGTTGAAGCTTGATAAGGCCTTTCTCTTAGAATGTATGAAGGTGAAGGCGGCAGGTTGCCGAGGTGAGAGCGGAGTCAGAGGCCGTTCACTTCACTGCGAGCTCCGCTGTAGAAACTCTTCCCTCAAAATTACAAGTGAGATCACCCGCTACCTATGATATGACCTGAAATAGCAACATTTTTTGTCACTACTCATCCACCCGGGTATCTAACTAGAATGCCCACACAGAGGAACAAACAGATACACCATTCCACCCATGATGGAATATGTGCACGATAACTCTGCTAAGCTCCTCTCTTCATTGCTTGCAGAAGAAATTGCACCAATATTGCTACAAGCACCACCATTAGGAACACCAAGATCCCACCTGCGATAAGGCTCCGTCGTAATCCCGCGGTGTACACTGAACCATCTTCTTGGTTGTTGGGGAAATAGTCAAACTCTCCATGGGAGAATATCGATTCTATGTCATAACCCTCGAACGAAACTATCGAGGATGTGTCTGTTTCTTTGGATACATCTGTTTTCTGGGATGTGTCTGTTTCCGAGGATGAGTCGTAAGTGGCAGGCTTTGTGCCGGAATCATGTCTGTCCGAGCTATCCATAAATTAGCTTACTACAATGCCTCTACCATCAAAGCTCCACGTACCACGAAATTCTCGGTTTCACCCGGCTTTTTGGAGGAGAAGCATACCCGAGCGCTTTCCATAGAGGCCTGCGAGGGAGCAAATGAGAATACTCTTCAGGCTGTTGGGGGTGTATCTGAAAACTCACGTATCTGAGTCCGAGTCTTCACCAGAAGGATGATCGAGCATGTTTGTTTTTTCCCTTAGCATTCTGGCTAGGCTGTCCTGTCCCAATTTTGAGGTGCCGTTGAAGTCAAAATATCGCTAAAAATTCAAGAATACGGGAGGGGCCAAGAAGCTTGATGAGGCGACATTCAAGAGGTGGAATCGTGGTGATTGTATTGTGAATCCGTGTGATAGAGAATGGAGATGAGCCGGAAATGTATCCATGATGTACCCGACGAGCTAGAAATGCCTGAGGCTAGGTACTGGAGATGTGAGAGCATTCTGAGAGAGCCTAGCTAACAGCCTAAGTTTGCACTTGTGACACATTTGCACACGGTTCTTTTTCCAAGACCACGTCAATATGAGAACATAAACCAAGCAGACATAGTATTTTACTTGTATGCTCTCGTTCAATGAAACCAGCATCCTCCCATCCCATTCAACTACAGTTATATTTCAGATATATGTCATCTCCAAGAAACTTCCGTGCGACCAGGTGCCTAACCGCTGGGGTTTCCGTTAAACGCAAGCCTGTTAGCTGTATCGCTGGGTATGTCGGTGAGGATCCCAACAGTGGCAAGATCCTTGATGCGAGTGCAAAGAGCGTCAGAACCGGGGAACCCTTCCAAACCAGCAAGGTATGCCGCTAGGCCGGCAACATGAGGAGAAGCCATCGATGTACCAGAATTGAACCCCTATGAAATGATGGAACTCAGTTAGGTACATGCGTAAATAATGCTTCCGGCACACCGGAAGCTTATTGTGGGTTTGGTGTAACTTACACTGCTGTTGCCGGGGAGGGTGGATAACACATCGCTGCCAGGGGCGAACAAATCAACGACCTCGCCATAGTTAGAATAGTAAGCCCGAGCGTCGTTCGAGTCAGTAGCACCGATCGTGCAGGCCAGAGGCTCGGAGGCTGGGGAGTAGCTTGCAGCATTCAGGTTGCTGTTTCCGGCTGCAACAGCCAGGAAGACACCACTATTGACAAGCGCAGCTGAGGCCTGGTTGAGGGCCTCTGATCTGCCTCCTCCGAGAGACATGTTGGCCATGGCCCCCTTGGGGCAGTAACGGGACTGCGCGTCTCTCGCCACAAAGTCCAAGCCCCTAATGATGCCTGCATATGTGCCACTGCCCCTGTTATTGAGAACTTTGACGCCGAACAGCTTGGTCTTCTTGGCAACACCGAACGTTTCACTGCCTACAGTTCCTGCAACGTGAGTCCCGTGGCCATGGACGTCGGTGTCGCCTCCTCCTGCATAGTTGACAAGGAATTCGGCGCGGCCACCAAATTCCTGCAAGGTCAGACATGCTGGATAACTCGGGTGTATGCCGTATTTCGGCCTTCGGGAATACTTACAGTGTGGCTGACGTCGATTCCTGTATCCAAGATGTAGACGCAAGTGCCCTCGCCGGCACTGTCATCGTATGTATATGCCGTGCTACCACCATTAACACTGGAGAGTCGTCCTAGGCCCCATGGAGCGCCAGGCTGAGTGGTGAAGGCGTCAAGACTGACGATAGCGTCTTGTTCAATGTATTCAACCTTCACAAGTTAACCTCGATCCCAAACAAAGTCAAAACATAGCGTATGTGGGCCGTTTACATACATCAGGATGCTCACGGAGAGTGTTCAGAGTAGCTTGGTCAATTGTTCCGGAGAAACCCTTGAACACGGTCTCAAATACGTGCTCGGGAGGTTCAGAGAGAATGCTGGCGATGTTGTTGGCAGATGCGAGATCGCCAGTCTCCTTGAACTTGACAATGTACTTGCCAGCAATGAGACTAGTCTCAAGACCTTGCGGGATGAGAAGTGGTGCGCGATCAGAGGGCTTAGATGGCACGGCCACAACTGCCGTGAAGGTTGAAAAGAGGAGAGACAGACGCATGGTGAAATAATCAAGAATTGGGAAGCCCAGTGGTGGTTCTTGTTGTTGATTCAAGGGTATCGGCTGTTCTTCTTTGCTTGAAGACTGAGTAGGGAGCGCAATCAAGAAAGTTCAAGGCGAAACCAGCACTATTTATAATGAATTGATGTGATGGATGACAAGCAAGAGAAGTCAATTAGGAGCTTACTCCCATGGAACGCCGTATCCTTTTCCCTTCGGGCATCTTCGCTTTCCGATCTATCATCATTAGAGGACACTCGGTGTGAAAGATTGAATGTTTATTGGTGTCTCAAGCCTCGATATATTCCGCCACATGGATATGGCACACACGGGAGAATCCTATCTCAAGAATCCTCTCCAAGAGGGTTGCATGTAAGTCGGTAGGACAGGGGTGACATACATATGTCTCCGAGTTTTTAAATTACGCGGTGAAAAAATGCCGACGCCAAGGCTGAGTATTCTCGACTTACATCTAGACTCAAACCTCATGAATGGGAAAGCCCTTGCTAAGCTACATATGTAGTGTCTTTTCTGTCTTTGAATATATTCATTCGGGCAACCTCAAATGAGTAAAGGTGACCTGAACCTGCGAGAGGCCGAAACTTCAAAGCAACAGGGGTGCCATTCAAGCAATGTATCTATTCCCAACAGGTGTTTTGAATTCTTTGAATGCTGAATACGCTTATACTCGTGACGCAGGTACCCGCAGCGTGGCTTGTAAGCCGACCCTCCATGATCGCGGCCTGCCCGTGAGATAGGGAAATTCAAGTTCAGGGGCTGTTGCAAATGACATAGGAGTGAATTAAACTAGCCAATAGCTTCCCCTCTAGTAATCCGGCCAATTGTGAATGCAGCTATCTACGCCTCAACTGAAACGGTGTTCTAATAGGTGTAACGGTGGCGTCAGACCGGGCTGTATTTCGGAAAGGGTGTTGGACAGGTCGCCAAGAAAATTGCATAGTAATTAGCCGAAATCATTGATCTCCGTGCTCACTTGCAGTGAGGCTTTTCTTCTTTTCAGCGCGTATTGCAGTGAGCGAGGGAAGCTGTCACACCAATCTACGCATGATCTGCGCAGCTGGTCAGCAACTAAATTAAATTGGAGTGTTTTCCGTGAATTCTGCCTTAAGAGTGCTCCTGCATATTTTCCTGCGCAAATATTGTGGACTCTCCTTGGACCGCTTTGTTAGTTAGGGACCAGGTTCGAGGAGATTCGCTCTCTTTCAAAGGTGATTCAGGGGAGTTCCAGGGTGTGAATAACTTGGATATGCCAAGAAATGCCTTGCCTATGTCCACCTTACAAGTACGTACCAACCGCTACGAACGTAGCACAGGCTTTCTATTATTATCCTTCATGTGACAGTAGATTTAGTCAGTCCTTCTCAGACTTTGGCCGATGTTAAACCCAAGCTTCTCCGGTATAACGAGCTTCGCTGAGTAAGACCAAACTGTCGTAGAGAGACATCAAGTCTTGTTGGAGAAAGACTCTTGAGGCCGTGGAACAGCTAGATCCCCACGTACTAGGTTTGACTGACTTTCCATCCGATCTTCGGTGATGGGACCAGGTTTTTGCCACCCTCGACTCTCAAACTGCCGCTATGATCCTTCGGTATGCTGACTGCATGACAATACCGTTCATATAGGCTGGTGGCCCAGGCTTGGGGAGAGCTCTACGCATGCACACTTGAAACACTCCGCCTATCATTCTTGACAGCCTAATATTTCTATCTCCATGACTACTACAATGTAACATATCCCTTGTTAAATCTCCGGTGCTAAGTATGCTCCCATTCTAGTTTCAGGTCTTAGTTAATATCCCGATGAGGCGGAGGAATAAATGGACAGCCTTTCTACTCACCCAACCATGATATAGCAACCGCACATCAGTCCTCCGCGGAGAGCGTTGGCTCGTGGCCCCCCTCCACCCTCGCTCATGATGATGAGATTCACCAAAAGCACCGACCCTACCAGGGTCGCCATTTCGAAGAAGGTGAAGGACAAGCCAAGATCCCGGTCCAGGACCCAGCCAGCGAGTATTGTCAAGGGCGTGACGCAGAGTGCGATCTGGATAGATGAGCCGACGGAAACAGCAATAGCAAGATCAAGCTTTTCCCTGACGGCAACAGTCACCACGGTGATGTACTCTGCCATGTTTCCCACAATCGGCAGAATTATGAGCCCAATAATCATTTCAGAGAATTGTCCGTCGTGTGTGACATCGTCAATGGTAGAGACAAGGAACTCGGCGTTCATAGACATCAAGACCGATGACAGGACGAGGACAAATACAGATACGTATCTTCCTACAATCATGTTGAACATGCTCGGCTCGGGATAAGTTGACGGTTGGTCATGACCATCGACAGTATCACGCATTCTACTTAGTGGTGGAAGGCCAGACCGTCTCAGGGGTAGACGTCGGCTTGACGCCACTGACGAGTCTCGGCTCGCAAACCGCCTACCAGATCCAATTGACAACGATCTGGAATGGCCTCTGGTCCGTGAGAGCTTTTGATACCTTGATCCTGGTACCGTTGTTCCTCGCGCAGATCCTTCAGCGCTGCCTCTTCCGCGAATCTCCCTAGCATTGACGGCATAAATCGTGCGCGTGTACTCCTCATCATCGCTGGCATACTGCAGAATGCTTCCTCCATGTTTCATCACTTTGTATCTTGACTCTTCTCGGTCATCGTTCTCGGCGAATCGAATTGTCCTTGGTTGAAGGCGAGGAGGTGGTGTGGCAGGTAAGGAAGGTGGTTGAATTTCGATCCTTCCTGCCTGGCTTTCAATATCAAGCTCATGAGAACTCAATTTAGAGGTATGGGGTCCTTTATATTTTACTTCATAGATTAGGTATATAATATAGATTGCCAGTACCATGAATGCGGATACCCGGCTCAGCTTCAGCGTTGCGCTACTGGCATCCTGAGCATTCTGGAACGTGTAGTCAAATGCGGTCTGTATGATTGTCAATGCTCGGAAAACAAGGCCCCCTGAAGGATTGAATGCGAAGGAAAACAAAACTGACTGGAATTAGAAAGGCAAAGACGGAAACAAAGAGGAGGCACCCAAGCACTTCTGTTCCTGAGGTACTGTAAGACGCCTCGACATCTGCGACGCCGCATGCTAACAGGGCTGAACCTAGGATGAGAAGAAGATTTACAAGGATGGACCCCAATATAGAGGCCTGCACGATGCGTACATGGCCGTTCGCTAAGGCAACACTACAATGTGTATGCGCATTAGGGAAGAGAGCCAGCTAAGTAGGGTTTTGGCTACTCACATGCTGCATAATGGGCCTGATATCAGTCATAGTACGGCAGTGAGTCAATGTGATAAAACTCTCGACTTACAACAAGATTAGCTCAACAATGTTGCCTAGGCTTATGTTCAGAAGCGCCCCGATGGTGTCGCCAGCATCATCAGCTATCCTCTCCGTCGCCTCAGTCAATAGTGCGGACAAGGGCACAATGGCCACCGCGTTGGTTAGAAAAACCACGATGGGTTGGGCCTTCAGGACATGTGCAATTAAGCCAATTGGGACAAAGATGGTGAGAATGTTGATCCATCCAGCAAACAAAATAGAGCGCAGCTCTACGATGAAGAGAGCCACAGGCGTCAGTTCTGCAGAATCTAAGCAAACCCAAAAAGATTCATATCAGTCTTTTTAGTCTCAACCCTCCATCTAGTTAGAAATCATCGTATCGAACATACCTAGGCATGGTAGGCAAAAGATATTCTGGGCGGCAGACTGCCCTCCATTCATACTATTGTCTATCGGGGATGGAACAGCCAAAAAACTGTCCTCGCTATCCTCAGCTGACGGTATATCATCTTGATCATTCAGTGACCCATAGCCACGAGGTTGCTGGCCCGTCATTGTATTCTTATATTCTATCCTTGGCTACGAGACCAAACTAAAGGATAAACAAAATGTCGAAAAAGCAGTTTGATGCTTCTTTTGTGTGATTTCTTGAATTAAGTAGTCATGAGATATGGGGAAATAATTCCCTCAAACTGAGGTGGTAGAGACAAGACTTATCTGGGAGGGAGCCAAAGAGGCCTCATGGATTCAATTATGGCACCGGCTGCCTCCCTTAGGACTTCCCAATCAGGTAATCGAGCATCACAAGATGTCCTCTCATCAGCTATAGCTCCTTCACCTACATAAATAGAATTTCCTTTCCGGCGCTTGATATGAGGTATTTAGGAGATGACTATCCTTGGACTAAAACAGAACCATTTGTCTCCTCACGCATGGTATTTCCGGAGTATTTTAGTCAAGGTGGTGAACCTTAACTGCGTCTCATTCCAAATAAAAGCATGTTATCGTCGAATAGACTGACATAGAATTAAGCTCGTGGAACTGTATCGGCGGTGGAATGCAGATTTAACTGTTTCTCTGTATAGTAGCCCAGATTTGTTGTCGTTGACCTCTTCTTCTTAGTTTTCTCACGTGAGTATTCGCCATATTTTGTTCTGGGATCATCGAGATGAGGAAATACGTAAATGGCAGGAACAGGATTGTTATTTGATCATTTAAGAAAAAGAAGGCCCTTAAATTGAGTCGCTTTTCCTCCTCAGCGACAGCTGTGCCTTGATGGGGACCATGGGTATTTCCTGACCATCTCCAATTGAGGGAGATGGAGATGGCTTCGGTTGACTTTTCTCAAGTCGGCTGTTTGACACAATGTCTGTGCTAACGTAGGCTGATGTTCTATTTCCTCGTTCTTGTTGTCCCTTGTCGCCATTCGCTGCTGCCAGGATGTCCTCCTTGGAACCATACGTGTCTGCTGAAATACAAGAGTGAGTATGGCTGACATCACTCTGATCCGAAATCACAATCATGGTTTTAGCCATCATATTGCCGTCGTTCTGCTTCCGCGAGCCCTCGACAGATGTAAGTCCCAGTCGTATCTCGTCGCTGTCCAGACTCAGCCGGCTCCTCGCCAGTCTCGAAGGAGTCCACCCTGAAGCTGCATTTGTAACTGCCGCGACATTTCCCCGCTTGTTTTTCGTAGACATTGCGACGCCGGGCCCAGCACCCAGGTTCGGTGGCTGGCGAGTGTTCATTCCATTGTGACGAGCGCTCAATCCGTGGAGACTTGAACCGTATTGGCCACTGTTGTTGATACGACGAAGAGCCGTCTCGGCGATGTGGTCGAGGACGCTCTTGAAATCGTCGAGGAAAATAACATCGGATGCACACTTGAATACAAGGGCGAGCTTTATCAAATAAATTAGTAAGACTGTACATCCCTCTTGTACATTTCTCCAGAGACTTACACGCCAAAATGGATTGATGCCGCTTGGAGTCGACATTGTCGCCGTCACAGCGACATCGGTTGCCAAGAAGATAATTGACATGAACATGCAGAGAAGCAGTACACCAAATCGCGGGCTCGTCCTGATCAGTGCTACCAACGTGTAGCCGTAATTTTTGTTGATCACCATGACCAACTTGACTGTGGTGAAGATCCACCATGGGTCTCTGTTCGAGGGAAGAAATCAGGAGCTGTCAACTTTGCATCACATCGGTCAATACCTTTGAGAAGTTAAGGACTAGCCTAGCAATTGGTTCAACATATCGTGATTTTTTGAACATGTTGTTCCCCAAAAGGTTGAAGTACTGGAAGTTGGCCACTGTCTCCAGTATCCAATATGGCTGAACCAGCATAAGTGATATGATAAAAAGAAGCCCTCCCCATCTTGGAAGGAAGGGTTTGATCTTGAGCCAGGATATGACATTGTGAAGGTTGTATGAAATGTAGAGGAGAGCAGAAGTACTGCTAAGTATCCTGTATTTCGGCAAATGTCCAATTAGCCATGTCCTTCATTTTACTATCCCATGATGTCTCCCAAACAAACGCACCATCCATACGCAGGGTCGTCGAAAAAGATGAATATTCCGTTCCATCCGGCCAAGAAGAGCTATTATTTCTCAGGTCAGCGAGTGTTCTCAAGGCCGTTCCGGTGGAATAGATATGATACCTCAAGGAGAATCAGTTTGTGCAAAACCACCCCTTTCCGATAGTTGCATAGAACAAAGAGTAGAAGAATTACCACCGAGCCAATATTGAACCCTTGAGCCCAGCTCTCACCTATAACTTGGCTCCGTGTCAAATTCTCGGCGAGGGGGTCGCCGGCAGCCCTGGTAGACACTAAACCTGGTACAGGCGCCATTTGAGGAAGAGGCCGAAGCCGGTACCCAAGAAGTATGATGAAATTTGATTAAGATCGAGCTTGTTAAGAAACCGTGTATGGTATGTAAGTCAAAGATGAAAAGATTTCAGACTGAGTAGTTTGTCAAGGTTTCGGTCGCACTCTCTTCACAATCGTGTTCAAGTCGGCTCTCTCATCAAGACCCATTTGTAGAGGGGCAGTTCTTTCGTCTCCGGTAGGTGTTTTACAGCTGTAGAGGCCAGGACACAGACTGATCAAACCCAAATATATTAGACAGGGCCATACCTCTCCATCGAGAATTAACTCTCGATCCCAACAAGCCCCGTGCTGCAGTCCATCGCTCCAACGTGACATATTTTGAGTTATGCTCGGGCAGTAACAAAGAGGGAGGAGATAGCCCTACATCACAAGCATCGGCCTCCATCCATTTCGCGTCATTCACAGAACGGTTTTCAGCCTTGTTTAGTGCTAGCCTTAGCACCAACTGATCGGTGAAGGGAGGGAGGTCGCCAAGTCAAGCCGCAACGCCCACCTGCTGCCGGCGATTCTCATGTCCTCCCGAAGCCTAGTGAACTTAGCGGGATGTATTGCGAAATGTTTTTCTTTGTTTATGTCAAGGTTGGCTTCAGAACCAACATTCTACCAATCTGATATAGAGTGTGTACCATCGCCGGCCAAGGACGCTTACAGCAGATAAAGACCGGCGCGGGATGAGAATAATTGTCGGTTCATTTTTCAGCTTCTTTTTGTCGATTTAATTGCTATAAAGAACATCTAACGTTTCTCTACGGCCAAATGACAGGGAGTGTACAAGTGTCCAGATCGGATACCGAGTAGAGGGAGGGTGGGAGCGATCGCTTTGTGAATGAAGAGCTAGACCAGACTAGACCATTCGATCGGATTGGCACTCACCAAATATTGGGTTTAATTCACCTTTGTCATTGTCAGTCCGTAACCCACAGGGAATACCGAGATCGTGGCTTGGTCAAAGCGGACCAACTAACGCGATTCAAAAGTTAAACTCGTGACCACCACGTTCGTCTGAACAATGCCTATGCAACCATATGTGGCTCCTTTTGATTTAGGCCCCTTTTGTTTGCCCAATTTGCCTAGACTGGTTTCTTTAGCATCGGATGCTCCATCCCCTAATGCAAGGTGTCGGAGATCATGACGCCCTTTGGCGGACTGTCCCGCCAACCTAGTCTTATGTTAAGGAGAGCTATCATTTCAACCTGTTCAATGTGGTCCTCAACATCCTCCAAACTCCCATCACAACATACAGAGGAGTAAAGGTCCTAATATATTGAGCAAGATCACGTACCATCGGTCCTTACAGGCTAATCACTATGAAGGAAGATCAAGGGTATTTCCCCAGGGTTTGAGACGCACGAAACAAGAGGTTGCATGGCGCTTATTAGGGGAACGCTGTTAAGTTGCTGGTGGCGGCGCCCTCTCTCGGGACCAGCATTGCGGCTTATTGCAACTTGACTGCCATGTGATTGACTTGGAACAATCCGGCTTCAAGTGCAGTAGGCTGCGTGGCATTAACGCACTACCCTGCTCCCACACCTTCCTACAGAGAAAGTCAAGCTCCCTTAAGAGAGGAGGATCCAACCGGGCAACACTAGCGGGCCAACGCGCATGTTACCTCCGACCAACAAACTAGGCTCGGTGGCAGTTTGCAAATACTCGCACAGTTACTATTGTCTGTCGGAGCTCCGTGTTAGTAGCGGCTGAACTTTATAACAGACATTGATTCTCAATATCTTCTGGCCACACCACCCTAGAACGTCCTTCCACCGTTTTACCACATCGCCTAAGAAAAAGAATGGACTGTCGATAAACCAACTGTTCAAAATACATTTGTAGTTGCCTTACGCTGATTTTGATCAGATTTGGGCTGTTCCAAGTGTGACATGTGATAACTGTACATAGCACCACACCTCACCATGTAGCCGATTGTATTCTGAAAAAGTGATTCAATTAAGTGGTCTTGCATAAAGCGGCTACAAGTTTGCAGAGGAAGGGATGTAGGCCAACAGACGCATCACGTTCACTTCAGGGCAGGATCGCCTGCAGGGGTCTCCTACGGGCGCCGCGGTGATTGAACAATGAAAAGGCTCGTACATAGCATGCCTTGTTAGACCCAGATGGCCAACACGAATTCCGCTCTTGCGACATTGTAGTACCCCATCCAAGAGACGACCCCAAACCGCCCGGTAAAACGAGCGCGCTCCTCTCGTCAAACCCAAGATATCCCTTTATTCTTGTTGGGAGATTTCGAACTAGCCCTTATCCAAGGCGATAGCCGTCGACGATTATGATAACGTGGCCCGGGCTTGTCAAAATGAAGGAAATGCTCCGATGTAACCTGAATGCGTCCGTTGTCTCATCGGTATTATGCTTGCTTTCTATATGCGACGCAGCCATTGGCGGTGTGCCAGCCGAACGGGCTTCGCTTCACCCAGGTACTCTGCAAACCTCCCACGGCATCTCCCCTTCCGTCTCCGTTCCATGTTGTTAGGATCTGCCCGGTTTCTGCCACCAGAGTGCCATTTACGGCCCACCTGGACAATCCTCTCGGCATATTGGGTGACCCTTGTTTGCTGCCCATGATAGGTACGCCCTGATTTTAATTGGCTTGGCCAGTGGGCCCTGGAAAGAGACGGCAGGGTTTCAGATGTCTCTGTGATATCTAGCAAGTATGATCCTCTGCCCTTTGTAAGTACGTACGTAATACTTAACAGTAGTAGAAGGCCTTCCGGCCTCAGCCCGTTTTATCGGCTGAGCAACCCAGATAATTGATAACACTTGTCGGGGGATGCTAATATTCGCAATGGAAAGAAACAACATGGACAACGTTGAAGAGGGGAGGATACATAGTAAGCCGAAATGAAGAAAATAATAATAATATATGGCTCCATTATTTACCGCGTGATCATGACGGTAGATGAAATCTACTTATACCGGGATTGGTGAGAAGACTTCAAGTCCAAGTGGGCATGTGAGGCAAGTGTCCGGTTAATTACTCCGCAGTAATTGTTTGACTGATCTGAATTGGGACCGAAACCATGCCAGAGGGAAACCAGGCGCCGAAGCCCACAAATAGCCTCGTGTATTCATGAGAGGTAAGATGCCCGACAACGTGGAAGCTCACCATGATTGGGGGCGGTCGCTATCTGCAGATCCGCGGGGGCTTGCCAACGCAGTTGACAAAGATGCTATATAGCTTTCGTATCGTATGCCTATTTGGGTATGCACCATAGGGGTATAGTAGCAGCGAGAATGGGCAGCATGACTTTCGAGGGTAGCATTCAGCATCGCATCCAGCGATTGCTCGACTAGGATATCCCCGGCACAGATGCAGGTTGGAGAATACGGTATGCTCCAAGCTGATCCACGTGGCGATACAGACCGATGGCTGCCCTTATTATAGGTCATTGACTACTTCGTTTATCAACAGAGGAGTATAAGGCACGCAAGGGACATAGTAGGAATCAAGCCCAGGCCTACTACACCGGGGCAATTACCTGAGGATAACGGCGAGAATTCGTCTGCCTGATTGAATGCAGGGTGTTCGCTGCACCTCTGTATGTACGAGGCAGGTGGTATATCCAGCAACCGTCATCGTTTTCGTTTTCCTGCATTAGACTACAATGTGCGCCATGAGAAGGATGACGGGGCGGGCTGGATGGCTGTGGAGGCATCTGTTCCTTGCCCAGGTCCAACGCATGGCAGATGGGATGCGCGTGGCTGAGGACTATTTCTTCTAGAAGCAACGTGCGAATATCAAAAGAGGCTCCATGAGGCCTTACCCTACCCTGCCGTAGGTTACGATGGAGGTGGGCGAGTGCTGAGGATGCAGGGCGAGAGCGGCGGTGGTCCAGAACGGGGGTTGGTAATTGGCTAGGCGAGTGCCACCCAGCGAGGATGGGACGAAAGCATGGATGCGTGCCAGATGCATGATAGTGTCATCGACAGCCGGATTCCAGTCCGACATGCGGTTTGTCTCCTTCGATTGGCCCTTGACCATGGATTCAAAGCGGGCAGATGCAACCTGAGTGGTCACTCTGTTGAATTGTGTTCCTAGATTGGACGGCCTGTGTATGTACATCTTCCTCGGAACAAGCCCGTGGCGAATGTTTAGGTTAGTAAGGTAAGCGCTAGGTGGGAGGTACCTGCCCCAACAGCCGAGACGCCCCTCGTGCGCGCTGACCCTAAAGAGCTGCCTGGGGCTAACCTGGATTGCACCTGCCGTCCGAGCTCTGGTCGCGCCGCGCGTGCATCCCGTCCATCTAAAACATGTACTACATTAGCAGGACAGCGCGGGACCTCCCCGCCAATGCAGTTCGCAAGGTACATGCAAGCTCAGTAGCCAGTAAGACCTGAGTACTAACCCACCTCAGACTGGGCTGGGAATTCTTCCGAGACCAGCCCACCAACCAACGAGCCGCAGCACCCACTGCTCACCATCTCAGCTGGGCAGTCTATTCTTATCAACCAACATAGGCTTGGTATGCCAGATCGTCTCGTGCTGATGTCAGTTGGTTGGTGCGACAAGCTGACTGCGCCGCGACTTACAAGAGCCAACAGCCTGGGCAGCCTCGACGACGACACATCAACCAACATCAACACGCAATTGAGACGATCGACCAACGCCCCGACCCCTCTTCCTCCCTTCTTCGCTGGACCTCTCCTCTCCTCTTCACCTTGCAGCCAATTGCGGTTCTACTACTCATTACAACGCTAGCGCTCACGAGAACCCATAGATGCAGAGTACTCCTTCGAAAGCTCCTTCGACCTCTCTTTACGCTATGACGACGAAGCGTGGCATGGCATGGGGGACTGCCAGGAGCCGCATCCTAGCAAGTTATTGATCAAGTCACCACCCAACTGGGGGGTGGGGGACCGGGACACACGTTGTGCCAAGGCCTTAACTGGCTATGCCCACCGAGATCAACAGTGTTTCAGTCCATCACCTTGGAATATTGGGCTTTATTGAAATCCTTTCACCGGGTCATCGTGACCCATCGCTACACTGTTCAAATTCGCTCCCAAGAATTTCACCACCACCATTTTTTGTAAAGTCATGTCCCACATGTGTTATCATCTCTGCGAACATACGACTATCTCAATTCTCCATTCCTACACGGTTGATTGATCAGCAACCCCCTCGACAACCCTTGCCATAGCCCTCCCCGATTTCCTCGTCAAAGGAGTGCCCTGCATTTGTTTACCTGATACCTGGTTTCCCGTCCGCCGGCCTCGATTAGGAAAAATGCCGCGTATGGTGACAGTGGGCGATGTTGGAACGATATGCATATTACTACATGCTACGACGACCAACGTGGTGCCCCATTTCTAGCTCTGCATCTCACTTAATGACAGCTCTATTAACAATCTACTTAGTAACACGCCAAACGGCGCAACTTGGCCCCCTAATTTTAAGATCCGGTGTGCTATCCCCCAGGTCCCAGGATCGCTGCTGCAATGTCTCGGCCCACGCCCCTGGCAAACCAAGGATTCTCTCTCCACTCGCAAAGGCAAGGGGTCGCACCACGCCGGTCATCCCGTCTTGCTACGAGCATGTTGATCCTTCTCATGTATCAACTGACATTCTGATTTCTCTCCTCTCATTGCTCCCCGCGCCGGAGTCTAGCGCTCGGTTCATAGATACCTACGTAGAAAAGCTCCCAAGATCCACTATACACGCCTGTGTCTGAATAAGACGGCGTGGCACTAATAATACCTACTTCATGCCATCCATGTACTCGCATGTTGTTCATGTAATGCCAGTAATAGATATTCACTCCGCCGCCCACTTACTTCAAATCCTCCCCCCCCGAGGAAAAGGCCTGTAGTGTAACGCTTCTAGAAGGCCGATTTCCCAACCGTCGAACGAGTCCTATGGGGGGATTATAATAATACGGCCGCCCAAGACGACGAAGAGGAAGAGGCTATCGAGCAGTCGAATGCTGCCACGACAACGGGCGACACCAGCAAATCGGCAAGGACGACGGGTTTGAGTTGGTTGGAGGAGATCAGGATCGAAAATGCGGATAATCGGGCGCGCCTCATGGCTTGCCGCCGGCGTTTTCCTCGTGGCTTCCATGTTTTTCACGACTGTCGCTTCAGCAGATCTCACGCTTGCTGATGTATTAAAGGCATTGCCAAGCTGCTCGGTACGAATGAAATCCTCCGACCGGTCAAGGATCGAAGTTGGCTTGGACAAAGCCTGGCACCACATCACATTGGCTAACATGGTTTCAACCCGACTTACAGTACGATTGCCTTGCTCTATTAACCGAGGGTTCTGATTGTGGCACGGGCAATATGACATGCTATTGCGCGAATCCCAACTTTGACGACACAGCAACAGCATGCGTTGAATCAAATTGCAAGCTTGCCAAAGACATCCTAAGTAAGAACGACATTTAGCCTCTCCAACATGTCCCCCGAAATAGGCGTCTAACAAACATGTGGCAACAGCTGTCAAGAACGTCACGCAAGTAGCCTGCAAACGCGAGGTACGAGACAACACCAAAAAGTTCCCGACCGTCGCCATCGTATTCTCCATTTTGTCCGGCATCTTCGTCATACAGCGGTTCGCTGTCAAGATATACGCCAACAACCTGAGCCTCGGCCTCGACGACTGGATCACCCTGCTGGCCGCTCTGATCCAGGCACCCGGAGCTGCCATCGCATGCGAAGGTGGACGCCGCAGCGGCTTCGGCAGGGACATTTGGACGCTTGAGTACCAGCAGATCACCGACTTCGGCTACTACCTCTACATCTACTCGACCATCTACTTCTTCAACGTCTCGGTGTGCAAGCTGGCCTTCCTCTTCTTCTACCTTCGGGTCTTCCCCGCTCCCAAGGTACGCCGTGCTCTCTGGGGCACCATCATTTTCGTGCTCACCTTCGGCCTCGTCTTTTTGTTCGTGTCCATCTTCCAGTGCAAGCCAGTTTCGTACTACTGGCATCGTTGGGACAAGGAGCATGTGGGGACTTGTATCAATGCCAGCGCCGTGGCCTGGGCCAATTCGGGTATCAGCATCGGCCTCGACTTCTTCATGATCGGCATTCCGTTGTCGCAAATCAACTCGCTCAACCTGGACTGGAAGAAGAAGATTGGCGTTGGTGCCATGTTCTGCGTCGGTCTCTTGTGAGTTACCCTCTGCCATCCTATGACTTGGGCGCATATACCACCAGTGTCCTTTATGTCTGTCCTGGTGCGCAGTCTTGAGCTCGAACTAACATGCTTCCTTTTAGTGTGACCATCATCAGTATCATCCGCCTCGAGAATCTAATCGTCCATGGTTGGGAGTCACCCAATGCCACCTATGAAAAGGTTGACGTCGCCGTCTGGTCCACCATCGAGATCAACGTCGGCATCATCTGCGCATGCATGCCCTCTCTCCGGAGCCTCATCGTCCGCACTTTCCCCCGCCTCCACATTTGGCCCTCAGAGCCTGGCACGCGGCAAGACTTCACGGAGCGAAATCTCGGCTTCGGGACCACCAGTCGAAGCATGGCTGAGAAGCATCCGGACATGCCGCTACCCACGAGGCCCGGCGCCATCGCTCTGCACATGACGTATGCCGTCGAGTTCGGTGCAAGAGACAGCGAAAGCATGGATGAGCAAAGATTAATGCAGATGCGGGACCTAGATACCAACGGCTCAACGGCTTCGCCATCGAGATCACCCTCAGACAAGTTGAGGGGGTACTAGACGTAACGATTTCATCACTCAGCCTTGTTTCATTTTCTCTTCTTGTTACATATTTTTCTTCTTCTATATTTTCATTCTGGAAAGGGACGCTTTGGGCGTTCTTGAAGCTGTGGGCGGCCAGGCTCTCTCCTTTTGCATTGTTTAAGAAGCAGACGAGAGCGATCTATTCTGATATTTGATTCTCCATCCGATAATGACGAGTCTGGACGGGGGCATGTGTATACACTCATCATCCAAACCAATATTGATATAGTATTATGTACGCGAGGAACAACAGGGCCGTGGAGAAGAAAGACGGACCTATCACAAAAGAAACATGCAATATCCAATATTTGCTTCATATTGTTAGTGCACGGTAGTGAATGACTGTATAAACTACTAGTACGATGATTATCATAGACAATTCCCATTCATTTGTTTCGTTTCCGGTCCCTAGGAGTCGAGGAGGGGACTCAGTCGTCTGGCCCAAGATCGCCAAGCTTTTCCAAAAGTGTGTCAATCATTTGGTTTGCAGGCTTGACCTTTGGAGCAGGGTTTTCGGATGCGACCCCAATCGGCTGGACCTTTTTGATCAAATCCGCAATTGAAACAGTGGCGTTTGAGGTGAGCTTTGCCCAATCCAAGGCGTTGAAGAACATGGTCCTCAACTCCCAGCCGATAGGGTTTATCATTCCCTCCGGATCCCTGCAAAAAGCATCATAGATGACCTTGATACCCAAAAGTTTACAGTCGTCTTTGTGACCTTTGTTTTTCCAACCGGCCACCTGACAATCCTAGAGCAGTCAACCAGTCAGGATGCGATCTTGGTGGTGTTGGGTCCATCTTCTCGCCCTCCTTTGTAAAACTTACCTTGCTACAATACCAAAACATGCCACATCGTGCACACTTGGAGAGCACCGGGGAACCCTTTTCAACTTGCTTGTTGCACCCGTGACAGATTCTCATGTCTCGTTTTATGTTCGAATAGATGTTTACCTTGCAGCTGAGCCTCAAGATCTCGGCCAATGTCACCCCCGATATTACCTGTAATGCCATTTTAGGTCATGATACACATATTCCATTCTTTCGAATTCTCAGCGTAGATGTAACTGGTCCCAGTCATAGGAAGCAACATACCTTGATCATTTGATTTGTGGAAGTGGCAGCCTCCTTCCCATCTTCTAAGGTGGTCCTCGCGGCATAAGGTATTAGGACGATAGACAATGGGGAAACCTCCCGTGCATCCCCCACATCTATGCTAACGTTGTTCAAGCTGACAAGAACTGTCTTTTTTTGCTTGTCACGGACCAGAAGCCTCTCCGCTGGTATATCCAACCCGACGAGGCTTCCTAGGAAGATCCAGTGTTTCTTTGGTCTGTGATACCTGTTGAAATGGTCCGACACCTTATCCGGATCGTCTATAGGCAATTGCATATAGTTGGGGAAGAGCTCTTCATTCCGAAAGTCGTGGCATGGTTCCGGCATATCGGCTTCCCTGAGGGTCTCCTCCATCCTGAAAAGCCAAGCCATATGCTGGCCATAGCAAAGATTTTCCAGTCTCAGCATAATGCCTGGGTCGCGTCTGAACTCTTCGTGCAGGCGGGCATAGAGAGTCACCAAATGCCCTTGGTGAAAGTCGTCGCATCTCCACCCAATGAGTCTGTCGTTGAGCTTCAATATCTTGGCGGCAAATACATATGCTCGCATTATATCATCATCCTGCACGAACCTGTCGAAAAGCCTGCGATAAAGAAGAAGCAGACTCTTGTCGCAAATAGACTCATAATAGCAACACTATGCCATGTGCCCGATGCAATGCGTCAATGCCAGGGTGGAAACATCGTCTCGGCCAAAGGCTGTGCCGTAGAGCTGGTTCAGCTGAGCCCGCTGGTCTTCGGCGGGATAATGGAGCTCCGACGGCATCGTGCATTCAGAGCAGCGACAGGGGTAACCGAATCTTTCAATATGATTCTCCATCCGAGTATGGTACCTACCGCCGCCAACCAGTTTGAAGAATCCTACCTCCTCACCCTCCTTGATCAGCTCAGAGGCGCGAAGGGCAAGCTTCCAACCCTTTCTGCGTCGGCAGTTGCCCGTCGTCTTGTTTGTTGGAAGAACCGCAGTGACGCAGTTGGGGCTACAGGTGTTGGACGCCAGTGAAAGCAGAGGGAAGATGCAGGCGTATTCTGGACTGTGTCGAATCACGGAGGCATGGGCAACATACCGTCCGTAGTATTCATCGTAGTCGCACAAGGGATTGCCCTCAAGGGTGAAGAAAACTTCACGCTCTCTTTCGGAAAGGGCATCAATACGTTCTTTGATCAGTGCCGAGGACTCCGGCGCCTGTCTCAAACCCGAGGGGAAGCTGGCAAGTCCAGGATCCGTGAGAATACACTGACCGGGCTTGATCTCGGTCTTGGCTATCATGTGGAAGGCTCCATGTTCTGCAATCACGATAGTGACTAGGCTGCCGTTATCCCGGCTTTTCACCTGGACGCCGAGCATGGCCGGCGAATGCAATAGGGCTTGGTAAAAGCTGCGGTAATAGCAATAGTAATAGTGATATGATTGCTGGCAGCGGCTGGGCTTGCTGGAGATCCCGTAATCTTGGTAGCCGTGACAATGCGATACTTATCGGTCAGTATCTGTAATTATGACAGCGTTGGAAAACAATGTTGTTGACCATGTCAGAGGAACGGTAGCCACAATGCCACACCTTCTTCCAACTTGACACCGGAAGGAAAGGTCTGGATCCCGTTGGGAAAGAATCACGCCGGTACCAGGCACCTCAATGAATATAGTTTGGAGCTTGGAAAGGAAGCAAGCATGGATCCAAGATCACCGTATGTAGCGAATTCATGCAGTACTTTCCTTACCCTACCTATCTACTAGGTACCTACTGGTAGCAGGCACCTCCCGCACTTTCAATTAGAGAGAGGCAGTTCCCCTATTATTGGACGTCGCCGTTTCTCTATAATACGAAAACATGGAACAAGACGAGATATTCTGGTAGAGAAATCCATGTACGTTTCTGTTTACATGCTATGTATTCAAATAAAACAACTCCATGGCCTGTACTTTCGGTTCGCGTTCGAATTCGCCGTCTATCATTTGTTTTGGGTCTCGTCTACTTCCTTCCACAGTTGTCATCAAAGTCGTGATGGTAGGGGAGGGGGCTATAATAAATTGTTCTTATCGCGACGACCAGAGCCAAGGGACGGGTCATGTCTGCTTTCATATGGGGGAGAAAGGCAGACAAAGACAGCGAGCACCGGTCCCTCCCTGGCTCTTTTGAATCGCCTCCTTTACCCAACTTGCATGCTCAGTTCAACTTGAAGCATCTCACTCGGTCTCATAGCACGGCCTTTTCGGGAATGTGCCCTTCCACGGAGCTCAGTGCCGCGAGGTTGACCTCCCCGAGTTGCATTCCCTCCTCGGAGCCAGCAAGAAGCGCCACACATTCAATCACATCTTCAGGCTCCAGCAGGTGCCACCTTGCTAGTGTGACTTTAGTGCTGGCCCCAACAGTGACTGTGAAAACGTGATCTGGGTCGAGAACAGGCCCAGAAAATCCGTTGAGGCTCCGGAACATGTCTTCATCTGTAAAGTCATCTCCCATGCAGAGGGCAAATTCTACCTTTCCAGACCCCAGGTCTTCGGAAGAACTGCCTGGGCTGTGGTACGTCTGCACGAGCCGCTTGATAATCTCACCCTTATTGATGAAGGTTGGGCGGACTTCGACATTTGCCTTTCCAGGCATCACCTCCACGTCCCAATGACGGGCCACCCCGACTGAGAGCTCCTTTTCGCATTCCCTGGACAGCTGAAGACCCAGCTCTGGATCTGCAAGCCGATAATGCCAAGTGAGCGCGCACCGTTTACGCTCGATGAAGGAGCCTAAATTACTCGACGGTTAGCTCATGGTACAACCTTTAGCTCCCCCAATACTCATTTCATGCGTGCCTTCCATGCATTCGGTGCTAAGCCATGCTCCAGATGCAAAGTTGGGTACATTAGGATTTGGGGAATCTCACCGGTGGCCATATCGGTGTACTTCTGGAACACCTTCAACACTTCCTCCTGCCATCCCATGTCAAACTTCTCAGCCAAGTTCTCCCACTCGTCCGATCCAGGGTGCTTCATGAAACTTCCATGTTCAGCAGAGAAGCCCATTTTCTGGATATGTCCCAGGTGGTGCTTCAAGAACTCTTGGTCTCGGCCAGAGATAATCCACACGGCATTCTTCGGATCATCGGCGAGGACCCTTAGGGCATTGATGATACGCTCTGAGGGTACTGCGGCGCTTGGCTCGCTAACAATTGGGGTCAGTGTACCATCGTAGTCAAACATAAAGAGGCGCTTGCCTGCCGATCTGTATCGGGAGAGCATAAGGGCACGATCCAGCAGCGGTGTCGCGTTGACCAGGTTAGAATCGCCGAGCACCGTGTAAACCTTGCGGACGAATTTCGTAATCCAAGATTGCACATTGTGACTCGTCACATGGCGGTACAGGCTGTTCTGCATAGCCATCCTCTTTTCGTCTGACATGGTCAGTGCAAGGTGAATCTTCTCAGCGACACCGCTAAGATCCCAAGGGTTGATGTGAATGGCATCACCCAGGCTGCCAGCAGTCCCACTGAATTCGGACAAAATCAAGGGTCCATGAAGATCTTTTTGGCAAATGATGTACTCAAGACTAGTGGTATTCATGCCGTCACGAACCGACGTGATGAGTCCAATGTCACCTGCACGAAGCAAAGCGAAGTATTCGTCCTGGTCGAGGTATTGTGGGTAATGCTGGACTGGGGAGAACCCCAGGCTGCCATACTGACCATTGATCTTCATGACCAATTCGTTGACTCTGCTTGCAATCTTGTTCTCGGCATCCTCCTTTTCCGCCTCGACAGTGGTAGGAGTGGTGACCTGGATAAGGACTACCTGCTCGCGCCATTCTGGGTATAACTCGAGAAAGCGCTCGAAAGCCTGGAGCTTCTGGGCGACTCCACGAACACTATCCAGCCGATCTCGGCCGACAATAATCTTCTTGCCCTCGTACATCTTCTTCAGCGTGTTATACTTTTCGGTGACGCTATCAACCCAGGCATACGACTCAACCTTGGCAGCATCAACGCCGATGGGGAAGACACCAACTTGCACTCTAGTCCCATAGGCATCGATGCCAAGGGTGTCCGATGGGAATCCAAGAATTCGTGTGCAACAACTGAGGAAATGGCGAGAGTAGCTATAGGACTGGAAACCAATCAGGTTGGATCCAAGCACACCCTCGAGAACTTCCTTTCGTCGCGGAAGACATCGCAGGAACTCGCTGCTGGGGAATGGGGAATGCAGATAGAAGGAAATGTACATGTTGGGCACCCGCTGGCGTAGCATGCTTGGGAGGAGCATAAGGTAGTAGTCGTGAACAATGACAATGTCGCCTGGCTTGTAGATCTCAATAATCCTGTTGGCGAATTTTTGGTTCATGCGGTAATAGTCGGCCCATTGAACACGTTCCTTGCGCCCGTCTGAGGGTTCGTGCTGTTTGTAGTGGAAGAGTGTGTAGAGATCGTGCTCGGCATACCTCCTCCATCTTGCCTGGTCCTTGAGGGTAATGCCTTCGTTGTTGACCTCATTCTCATCTGCCAACCAGACAGGGACTGTGCGGATGCTCTTGCTGTGGGAGAGCTGGTACTCAAGGCGCTGCTGGTCTTCGCGAGGCACCCAGAGGCCATCGATCGGAGGGGGTGTAGGAAGGCGAGTGTTACCATCGACGGGGACGGGCGCAGAGAGCGCATTGAGCGAAGAGACACCAACGGTGGTGGAGGACGTGGGCGCTTCAGCGGGTGAAGAAGGCAGGTCTTGAGGGAAACCGATCTCACCCGTCCATGCGACGACGGTATGGTGCCAGGGAGTGGCGTCGGAGGAGAGATGAGCAAATGAATCGTAGAGGGCAGATTGACCACGGCGGGCTTTCAAGTCCTACGGGGCAAGAAGGCAGACAAATATCAGCAACGGCCAATGTGCATGGTGGCATGTGGGCAAAAGTGAGGTTGGTGTGATGCGCCATGGAGTGAGTGCATGGTGGGGTTCGTTTGCTCATGTCAGGGAGGAGGGGCAGAGGAGGGGCGGTAGAGTGCCTTGAAGAGAACATACCCAGTGGCCTCCTTTGCAGTAATTGAGAGCATGAGGGGTAGTGAATGTTGCGGAAATAATGTTGCCGCTGAGAGAGAGGTCGGGGTTCGCGGCACGAATGTCGGAGAGAGACTCGCGGCGAGCCAAGGCTGCTGCCATTGCGGGAACTTGACGCTCAACCAGGTTGGAGGATTCGGCTGGACCTGGTGGGATGTTGGGATCGGCTGCGGAGAAATAGCTGGGTCTGGCAAGATCGCTGGGGCTTGTGGAGGGGAAGTAGGTGGAGAGGTCAATGCCGGGAGTGACTGCTTCAAGACGTCGCCTCGTGAACGCCGAGGGAAGCGTCGAGTCAGAGATGCTGTGGTGTGTGGTGGGAAGCTCGACGAGGTGGTTGTGACGTCTTTGCTGCTGGTTCGGTTCGTGCTGGCGGTGGCTGCTGTTGAGCCGCTGAGGTTGGCCTGGATCGGAGTCCATTTTAGCACACAAGCTCTGCCCACTCACGACAAGAAGCGCTAAAAAAAAAAAAGGGCAGGCTAGCTCGAAGCAAAAGCGAGCTCGAGGACCTGTCAAAGGCTTATGGTGGGGGCGGGGTGGCAGAGGGAACAGAGTGAAGAGGCAAGACAGGTGATGAACACGGAGGGAGGAGGTGATGCGTTGCGAGCGCGGGGATAAATAAAGGAAAACCGTGCAAGATCCATGAGAAAGAAACGATAGTGACGGCAGCGAGGCATTAGACCAAGGCCCGGTCTACAAAGACTGCAGGCCAACTCAATGTCATCATCGAGATTGCTGAGAGCCCCGTCCCGTAGCTTATCGTGGTGGACGTCAAAACAAGGCGCTGTAGCCTGTCGCCAGCAGCATGTGGCCTCTGTATGCTGGCTGGCGGTGGGGCGGCCAAGGAGCAAAGCAAGCGTGAGCAGGAAGCAACAAAATCAATGCTCACTGTGGGCTCAGTCTCCCGATCCACGGCTCTAAATAAGGTGGTGCTGATTGGCCAGTCAGAAGCCGCCAGTAGCCACTGTCCGCGCCAAACGGAAAGGCCCTTCTGCCCATGCACTAGCTGATGAATGATGAATAAGGAGAGATGGTAGGAGACAAATCATTGTGAGGGCATGCAAGCGAGGCGAATGTCTCAGGAGCGAAATATCCGGCAAACTAGCAAAGAGGAGGCAAAGTGGAAGGAAATGGCGAGATCATACCTGGGCTAGTTTGTATGAACAGCACTAATATGCTGCTGTGGTGTACAATTGAAGGGAGTGGTGAGTGGTACACAAGGGATAATAAGTGCTGGTCTTGTTTGGGGCTGGGCTAGGCTGGCTTGCTTGTGTTGCAAGAATCAACGAATGATGGGTTGGATGGAGGATGGGATGGGAGGCTTCTTAATAAAAAAGCCCAATTGCCACACCGTCCTATGAAAGCCAAGTGCGGTAGCTGTTAAATTCAGGTCCAGCCCTCCGGTAGTAGTCCGCGGCTGTGGATGATAGCGGCTTTGCCTGTGTCGAACCGTCAGTCTGGCTTGGCCGGCAGCAACGTCCCCCTGGTCAGTCAGAGCGGTGTCATTTAAGGTACTGAGGAATCACGACTCGTGGAATCTCGATAGCAGTTCCATCCAGGACGGTGAGATCTGGAAGCACGATGCCATACACCCATCAGCCATCACCCGCTGCCTCCCTGGCTTTGAGTTATTTTCACAGACGGGATGCCTCGTTGGCCACCGAGCAGACCCGAATCAGCCACGGTTTCGATGCAATGCATACCGACGGATACATCTGCATCCCTCAGTCTCTCGACCTCTCGCCTCCTTCACATGGTGGGGTTGCCGTCCGTTGATTGGCATTCTCACCTCTTGTCGCCATAGCCGGATTCAGGGACCGGTGCACCGTCCTGCAGAAGCGAGGCGCTACTATCACCGGGTGCCAGCTACCTGGCCATTTATTGTTCGTTAGTTTGATAACCTCATCTGGTTGGCCCCAACCCGCTCCAGACATACCGCCTGTACATAAAGCCCCGACAGATAACAGCACGTCGCATACATACATGTGACTGTGCCTACGTTCCAACTGCTCGTGTCACATACCATACAGTCAACGCCCACCCACACTCACACTCACACTCACACTCACCTTTGCTTGCCTTCCTTCTCGTCCCGGCTACTCCTCCCACCTGCATGCATCCGGCCGGTTGTGGTCTCTTGTCGCAGCTTGCAACCTGTAGGGCCATCCTCTCCCCTCTTCTCCCTCCCGGTTCCCTTCCCGTCCCTCCCCCTCTGAAGCTTTCATAAAACACTCACTACGTACACATTTTATCTATTCAAATAACCATTGGGAAAGGGGGTGTCGTTTCCCATGCAGGCTTTTAAATGAGCCAACCCAGACGCCACATGGGTTGTTAACTGCCGTAATAAACTAGTAGCTTGACGTCGTCGATCGAGTGGAAAATACTAATAAAGGGAAAGGAGAACCACGTCGCCCACGGGATTGGGAGGCAACAAGCCGCAACACAGCGGCATCGGTACGACCACCACGACAAATACCCGCACCTGGAACAATCTCGTAGACTCGGGAATAGAGAATGCAAGTTGCCCAATCGCGACGCCTCTTTCGAAGACTCAATGCATCCCGTGTGGCATCGCATGATGGATATTGGATGATCAGACCGACTTGTTGTCTTCTCGCTGCAGTCGGTCCCCACTACTTCAGCAAAGCACTTACTAAAGAATGAAACCAGAGGTCCCTCTGTACCAGGATCCCGCCGCTCTCCCGCCACGACCACCATGCCTACCTATGTAGTACTTACCACGAGGTGACCGCAAGTAATGCCACCCTCCGTGGGCCAGGTAGGGAACAGGGCAATGCTGCTGCCATGGGTCAATTGCTCCGTTCCAGCGCAGGCGCCACCCAAGGCACATTGACAGGTAGCGCACTTGCTGTCACGGTCTCATCATGTGCTGTATCACGTGACCTCGCGACCCTCGACTGCCTGGCCCCACGTCCGCCGACCGTCAAAACTTCATCGGCTTCTCCTCGGGGCCTTCGCATCAACGTCGGCTCGACGATTAGCCATCGCGACTCCTACCTGCATAGCGCCGAGACCTGCATCTCGCCCATCATGTCAGACTCTCCACCTCAATCGCCTTCGCAGCAACATGCCAATGTCCACGCCTATGCCAGCAATGGCCTCGAGATGCTACAAGCCGCCAGCGATGCCGCCCAGCAAGCTCTCACCACCCAGCAAACACAGGCGCTGCAAAATGCGACTGTCGAATCCGTTGCGCAACCCAATGTGAGCACCGCCGCCGCCGCCGTGGCCGCTGCCGCATCTTCGGCCGTCAACCCATACCCTCAACACCACAGTGCCGACCTGTCCTCCGTCCAGCTTGTCCAGGGCGCAGGCCTCGTCGGAAATGGCGCCGCCATGATGCGCGACCCTACGGTTAACCCGAAGCTCACGCGACTTCGACGCGCATGCGATATGTGTAGTATGCGCAAGGTGAAATGCGACGACACCAATATCCCATGCAAGCCCTGTCGGGAGCTTGGTGTAGATTGTACGTATCACCGCGAAACGAAGCGACGCGGGCCCCCAAATAAGCATGCCGAAGCTGCCAAAGCCGCAAAGCGAACTCGGATCGAACCATTGCCTCCGGTCTTCCCATCGTCTCCTGCGCCCTCCAATGCAGCAAAGACTTTGCTCACTTTCTCGAACGAGGGTGTGTTGGACGCTGAAAGCATTGCTCCTATGCCTGTGCTGGAGCTATTAGTCGACGACTTCTTCACTTTCATACACCCACTCGCTCCCTTCCCACACGAACCCACGTTCCGCCAGTCCTTTGCCAATCGAGAAGATCGCACAAGACCTGAGTTTCTCAGTCTGCTTGCCAGCATGATTGCAGCGCTTGTGGCCTCATTTCCTCGATGTGTGCGAGAACATCTGAAAGCGCAACACAGTACACATCTCTTTCCTAAATCCATTGTGATGATTGAGAGGTGCTGTGAAATTGCTCTTCAGGCGCGAGGCAGTCAGTGGCCATTGAAGCAACCAAAGACACTCGACGATGCTTCCACAAGCTACTTTCTTGGTTTGTCATATGCCTACACGCATCAACACAACGCCTCTCGCCACTTCATGTCCGAGACCCTCACGTTGATTCGAGAGCTTGGGTTCACGCGACCAAAGATTGCGGGCGAACCTCCCACCTTCGGCAATGATCCCTACTCGCCCGATCCCCTCCCATTCAATCATGTCAAGGATCAAATTGGGAAACGGTTGTTCTGGTGCTTGCTCTTGGGCATTCGGTAAGTCGGGCATGCCCTAGTTTCACCCCCCACTAATCAAGTTCAGCGCTCTAACTCAAAGATAGCTCTTTCTCTCAGCTTGGAGGAGTTGGAGGATCACAGTCCGATACGGTCATAGCACCATCCACCCCAAGTCTGCCATATCCTACATACCCAGAAAACATTGACGACATTTATGTTGTTGCCAATCAGATCAACGATCAATCGGAGGGCAGTGTTTCACTACTCACAGGGTTCAGATTTGGGATTGACATTTACACAACAATGAATGGGGTGGTTAGTCTCGAGCTGGCTTATGGAATGAGCACCTTACCATGGTCCGACCAAAGAATGCTTCTACGAGAGGGCCTTCTTGCTGTGAAGAGCATTATTGGCAATTTGCCGCCCGAGCTTCAACTGGGCGCACCCGGCGAAGTCGATCCAATGGAGGCTTTCGAGGATTCAACTGTGCAGTATGTACCACCTCTGTGGCCCAATGCTCAGCCTCCCCACGACATAAGAATTGCATTCAAAACCCAACCGCACCGACGCCGTCAATTACAGTATGAGATTCAGAAAGCCAACATTTTTGTATCCGAGCTCGCAACCCGGTCATATTTTGTTGAGCTTTATTTTGACTTGCGTGATGTACACCTCGCTGATCACCAAAATACTGTAACGCCTCAGACTCAGGAGGAAAAGGAGGCAGAAGAGAATGAGGATAAACAGATCTTTGAATTGATGTCAACCGAACGGGAATTGATCGTGCAGGACCTGTTGACTGTCTTGGGCTCGATTTCCCAACGCAATCTTGAACCTAATGGAGGCTCAATCATCAACAAGATTCGCCAGGTTGCGTCAACGCTTCTCAATGACGCACCAGAACGCAAGGGTCCATTTGCAATCAAATCTGAAGAGGCCCTGTCACAACTCATTGGCGTGCTTATCAAGCTAGAAAGGACCGGCCCCGTCACCAATAGATCCGCAGAGCCATTGCAGATGACGCCACAGGATGAAGAAGAGGAGCTAAACCACTGGTCTGACCTTCGTGATTACCAACTCCGCTTCGCTGCACACGGTGGCTTTACGGGAAACATGTTATCCGTTAGGGAAGATACGGAAGTATGAGCCTTCAATCATTGGAGGTATATCAAATTTGTACTGCGATGGTTTTTTTTTCCTTGTTCCTTTTTTTGGGGGGGGAGTAATGGAGTCGGTCTGGAGTTTGGGAGGTCTGGAGGCTTTGGCTTCTGTGACCATAAAATCTGTTTTTACAAAGCAACAACCAGTGGTTGCTTGGGTGCGCCATCTGGTCCGACTGTATGTACGAATATGAACTTCGGAGACAGAAACCTACTCAAAATGGCAATACAAATGGAGCATTGTTATGTCATAGCGCATAAGACTCGGTTTGTTCCTGGTGTCTCGAATCAAGCCACCCCTCGTAAGCGATAAACCCAACTAGTAACCAGTTGACCAACCTGGAAAGGGGGGCGGATTCCAAATGTTAGCAGCCATCCCAGCGTCGGGAAATCAATCTCGGTGGTACTCACGTAACAATAGCAACCAGAGCGATCATGCCCCCATGAGAAGCTACGTTCCACGACCACACATCTTTAGATGGTTGAGTAAAAGACCAACTCAGGAGGCCGAGACTGACTGCAGCCCCTGCAGCCAGGAAGAACTGGATGGGTAGCTGGGTGTGCAGAGGAATGCCGGATCGAAAGCTCACAACGCGACGGTGGGAGAGTGTGGTTGCGAGATTCCATGCCATAGACGCAATGGCCTGCGCAATGACGTCCAGACCAAAAGTCAGCTCCTCTCCAAGATAGGTACAGAACGATTGATGGGGCATGTAGGGAGGAGCATAGAAGGGAAAGGGAATTGAAAATTGGGGGTTGGAAGCTTCTTTACAAGAGGCAGGCTATTCCACAAGACCCAATAGCACTTGTCCGTTACAGACGCCGAGTAACCACAGATTCTGCCCGTAGAGAACCACCAAATATTCATGACGACTATTATGAACGACACCACAATGGCCCAGGGCCGCACGATGGAAACGAGGAAGAAGTGCTGCCGGCGAGGTCGAGGGGGCGAGTACTGGGGCTGGTAATACGCAGCGGGCTGGTAGGCGCCCGGGGGAGGATACGAGTCCGGGACGTAGGCGGGGGTTCGACCGTCGTAATGCGCCATGACGGCCGGTGCGCATCAGTCGCGGAGTTGCGGCGTCAAGATATGGGAAAACTGGTGGCCATGAGCCAGAAAATGTCGAGAGCGAAGATTGCGTAATGAGATGGTTGCGACAGCCCTGGACAAATAACCTGGTCGTCACGAAACAAACCAGGACGAGACAGCCCGGACACACGTAGCAGGGGCTTGACGCCCAAGCTTGTGACCTACCCTACACATCCGCTCTGCCTGGCTCATTGGCCATTCCTCCTCCAATCAGGCTTCTGCTGGAGGGGGGCTGGAGTTTCACAGGTTTGTACGCTCCTGTTGTTGGTTTTATTTTGATATGTTTGTGTAACCAATCTTGCTGGTACACAGTATCGGGGAGGTGTGGAAATGTTGACAACTCAGCAAAACCACGCCTAGACGCCGATGCAGGAAGAACTAAACTCCAAGCAACTCCTATCCCTGGGACTTGTGATTTCAGACCAAGGTAGTAGCGAAAAGAAGAATCTTACTCTGGCCAGCACTCCAAGGTACTATAAACCTTACACATGCTCATTTGTAATCTGCGTCTTGCTTTTCAACTTCAATGGCAGCTCCTCAAATGGGATGGATATAATCACGTGACCCCATCACGAGATTCGAGAAAACCATGAGGGGGGTTTCCTTTTGCTTTTCATAGCTGTTCATTGATCGTCTCTATTGCTAAACTTGACATTTGTCTATGCGACCTAATACGCCTATGCGGATGTTCAATTCAATGGACGATATTATTCTAGCACGACCCCTGCGAGTATGAACGCGAGATATGCTGATCAAAAACACCAATGGGAGTCAGTTCTGTGAATAGAATTGCATTGAATTTCATTTGGGTCCTCTTCTTCCAACTAAAAGTCGGAAAGTTTGACTTGCTCATAAAGAGCCCATCTGGCTGACCTGACCAAGTGGTCAAAGGTCCTCTCTATCTCCCCGTATCCCTGCGCCAAAAAATGAAAATGAGTAGTGAATGCTGAAAAAAAAGAGCGACTCTGAATATGCGGATAGAATGAGTGGCTCTGAGATCACAAGATATACCTCTAGGCAATGCTTCCTCTCCGATGTAACTCAAAATCGATAATCAAGGATAGATTTGTGACTGGTAAAGAATGAATCCCCCCCCGGCTTAATCTGGAAAAAAATATTGGAAAAATAGAACCCGGACTATCGTTCAACTAATCGACCAATCGAATCAATCACGATACTTCTTCACGCAGAGAGCATCGAACTCTCTGTGAAAGACAAACATTACTTATGCAGAACCCTGATCAAAGAATACCGAGTTAGAAAAGCGCGCAGCGGGGGGAGGAGATGAGTCTCACTGTAAAGACTGGGTTAAAGTGAACAAAACATAAACTAGCAGTAACACGTCGCGCCCGGTTGTGGCTGGGCTCCCAATGGTGGTAGTTCAGTATGACCTGTGGTGGGTTGTGTTTATTCTTCCAGGGAGAGACAATGCCTCTTTCGCTGAGAGAGAGACGCTTGGTCCTTGGGGACGAAAAGACCGGTAAATTTCCGCTCCTAGAGGGCCTGAACCGGTTTGATCAGATGGTCGGCCTCCTCGTAAGTGAGGGCAGCCCATTTCTTGGCGGATTTCTTCATCTTGTTCTCAAGTGTGTCGAGGAACTTTGTGCGGAAGGGTCCTTGGGGAGGAAGGTCGGCAGGGGCAAGACCAAGCGCCTCGCCCTTTGCATCCATGTCATTGACCATTTGTTGAATCGCGCGCTCGACTCCTGCTTCAACTCCGGCGTAGAAGATGTTACGCACAGCAGTGTGAATGACAAGCTCATGCTCTTGAGCGGTCAGATTTGTCACTTCACCGTGCTTGACAGCGCTCCCGGGAACTTCGGGCAACTTGGAAACGAATTCCATGTCTGCGGGAAGGTTGAGGGGGTGGATGCCAGTGATCATCATAATCCGATCAGGATTGAGTGGCTGCCAGGGGATGGGGGGAGGAAGCTGGGAGTTCCATCCAGTCATACCCGTTGATGATGCCGCTGCTGCTTCCTGAGTCACGATAGGAAAGTTTTGGACAGGTGCAGGCTGGACAGGTGCAGCCTTCTTTGCTTGACCCTTTCGCGGCTTTGGGGCTTGGGCTTTCTGGGCCTTTGTGGAAGCTGCCTTGGAGGCTTTGGTTGTTTTGGTACCCTTCGCATTGCCAGTATTGGTGCTTTCAGTCTCAGCTTGCAAGGTAGTGTTGGGAGGCACACCTTGGAAGACTGTAGCGTTGGCGGATGGCTGGGGGTTCTGTACAGGCTGCACACCTTGCTGAGGTGCCATAGATGGAACTCCGTTGTTTGGGTAAGCCATAGGGGCTTGGAAGCCTGGGTAAGCTCCACCAGTGGCAGCAGGGCTCATGTTGAATTGACCAACCCTGAAGTTGTTGACAAGATGAGCTGGATGAGGCATGCCCATGAAGTTGGGCTGCTGACCGGGACCCATACCCATGACTGGGAACTGTCCTGGCATCATGAAGGGATAACCAACACCGTTTGCGAACTGTGGCATCTGGGCCGAACTGGCAGAAGGGCCAACAGGAGCTTGTCCTGGAAGAGAACCAAAAGGAGCTTGTCCTGGAAGAGAGGAGATGGAAGAACCAACAAAACCCTGCGCTGGGAGACCAGAGACACAAGGGACAGATGTGGTGACAGGCCCAAGGTTGGAGGCATGTGGGTTAGCTACCACTGTGTTGTTCTCCATTTCATCGTCTTCAAAGAACTCGGACGATGTGTCACAGGCTGTGGAGAAGTGTCCATTTCCCCAGCCCTGAGGGACAGATCCAGAAGCATTAATTATGCCAGCGGTTGCAGACATCTGAGGCATAAGAGCTTGGAAGCCGCTTGTCTGGGGGTTGCTAACTGCTGCCCCATTGCCACTCTGGTGGGCATCTGAGGCAGTCAAATCAATCTGGACAGGAGGTTGCGCTTGAGGAAGAGCCTGTGTGACAGTAGGCTTGGCTTTCTTCTTGGATGGTGCAGTCTTTCGGCTCTGAGTGGCGGACGAAGGAGCTTCAGGGCATGACTGCGGCTGAGGCTTGGCGTTGTTCTTGGATGATGCGGTTGCAATGCTCCCATTCTGCGTGGTGTTTGAAGAAGCTGGAGCAGGTTCAGGCAGAGCGAGCGTGTAAGCAGGTTTGGCTTGACTCTTGGATGGTGTAGTTGCAATGCTTCCATTCTGCGTGGTGTTTGAAGAAGCTGGAGCAGGTTCAGGCAGAGCGAGCGTGTAAGCAGGCTTGGCTTGACTCTTGGATGGTGCAGTTGCAACGCTCCCATTCTGCGGGGTGCTTGAAGAAGCTGGAGCAGGTTGAGGCAGAACGAGCGTGTAAGCAGGCTTGACCTTTTTGGATGATGTAGCTTTCGCACTTTGAGTAGTGGCCGAAGCAGACGCAGGAGATGGCTGCGCCTGAGGAAGAGCGAGCGTGAAAGCAGGCTTTTCTTTGGATAGTGGAGTGATCTCATTTTGGGTGCCAGCATTCTCACTTTGAGTGGTGGATGAAGGAACCGCTCCAGCAGCTTCCGCTGGATCTTGAGACTCGGGCTCGGGGCTTCCAAAAAGATCGTCAATTTCACCCATGTCCTTTTGGGCGAGGACCTGTGAGTGGCTTGAAGGAACCGAATCATGTTCTACTGCCGCATCTTGAGGAAAGGCAAGATCAAAAGCGGACTCAGGCTCGAGGCCGCCAGAAAGAGCGTCAATCTCTTCCGTGTCCTGCTGCGTGAGGACTTGGGAGTGGTTTGAAGGAACTGGATCAAGGGCTTCTGCCAGATCTTGAGAAACTGCGGTCTCACAAGCGGACTGGGTTTCAGGGACGCTGAAATGGTAATTTGCGTCCTCTTGAGCGATGAAGTCCTCGAGCTTTGGTAGGCACAGGAGTAGTTAGCATCTGTGCTGTATAAACTGCAATTAACGCGAGAGGTGGCTTACCGGGCTGAGATCAACAGGAGAACACGAGTCCATTGCTTCGGCAAACTGATTGACAGGCCATTCATAGTTCTCCAGGAGTTCGGAATCAAAGAACTCGGCTGAGAATGATGCGGATTCTGTAGTCATCTCCGCGTCGTTGTCAATCTGTCGAAACATGATGACGACTTTAAGTTGCTTTTGGGTGGCAGGTATTGCCAAATTGTAGGGTTTGATGTTGGAATTTGCGATTGGAGTTGGATGGTTAGGATGGATGATGGAGGAAGAAAGGAAGAGAAGACGAGGGAGAAGGACGAGGTGAGTCTTGGTAAAGGATTCTTTTCTCAGATGTGTGTTCCTGTGACTGCTCTAGGCGTGGCAGACACTCGTCACTTGTGTCGATGTCGGGGGGGCTGGGCGTCTGCCACTCTTCGATCTGAGAAGATGGTGAGATGGGGATTTTCCTGATGTTGGACAGATTTTGGAGCCGTAAATTGGCGACATAACATTTCATCCAAGCCTGATTTAAACTAGGACACTACATTGCATGCTTACAGCTGCATTAGAACCCAAGATACCGTTATTTTGCCCTGATATAGATGAATTATTTTGGACTTGGAGGAGAAGATATCCATTCCTCGTCCAACACCGACCCAAGCCGTAAGTCAGAATTCACTCACCTGAGGACCAGGTGAGAACTCGTTCCCCCAACCCCCCCAACAACTTGGATCGCCCGACTGTCTTCTGGTAGAGAATTGCGTCATAGGGCGCAGTCGTCGACGAAATTTTCTGGCCATCGTCGTCGCTTTCCCGTCTTCGTCGTCGACGCTCGTTGACGCTCGCCGCCGCCGTCGAACCCCCAAGCTGTGCACGCATCTCCCAACCTTCCTAGACATGTACATAGGTAGGTCTATCCCAGGTACCACAGACGTGTATGTACGCAAATACGTCGCCAGTGTTTGTAGTAATGATGTGCTTTTAATATTATTTCTTTTGTTAAACCGCAACGCCCAATGTATATATGAAAGGGACTAAAGCAGACAGAAACCAACCGATGAAAATACAATTTGCGATTATGACGCCCTAATCTGGGTACATCTGCTACTGGCCTACCCCAGCGTGCAGTATCAGACACCTAGAAATACCCGCAGATGGCTCCCAAACCTGGAGAATGAGAGAGAGCCACCTCTGCTTTACGCTACTTCCTCCACCATTCTCTTCACCCGTACCGCGTCTTTTTCTGTCTGGAAGACCTTCCCGACCGGCCCTTCCAACATCTCGGTAGGCACAGAGACGCGCGTACCGTTCTTTGAACTGACCCAGCGAACGAATACGGGATTGGCCCTTGGACCATCATCTTGGGGTGTGGCCTCACCACCTGCAGCGGCGGCGGCGGCAGCAGCAGCAGCAGCCTTCTTGTTGACCTTTGGTGCTTGCTTCTTTAGGAGCTTGTTGATGGTTTCCATCTGCGACCCGGGGATGCCAATTAGGTCCAAGTTCAAACCATGGAATAGCTTTTTTTGGAGAGAGATTTGAATGTAATACAAGCACGTACCTTTACTTCTTCGTTCCTCTTCTCGCTTAGATTCCTCCGGCGCCGGGCCATTTCTTGCCGCCGCATAGATAGCTCCTCAGCAGTGAATACCTTCTTGGCTTGCACCTCTGCAGGAAAGTTTCATTAGTTGGTATACGGCCCCGGGACGGGATGAAAGGGAATGGCATCAACTTACCATCAGATAGCTTCATAAACTCTTGTGGCCCATCCTCGAAGCGCGCACGTTGACGCTTGGTCATCTTGGCGAGGTCTGGCTCACCGTCTTGGCTGCCGTCCTCGTCATCGCTATCAAGACCTTGGCCTTGTCCGTCAATCTGCGTCACGCCTTCTTCATCAATCTCTTCGCCTTCAGCGTCCTCGTCGGCCATTGTCTCATCCCCGAGGCCAAGCGTCTGTTCGGCAGCATCGCTATCTGCTGGATCGCTCAGGTCGCCATCGTCATCGTCGTCATCAACGTCTTCTTCGTCCTCGTCTTCTTCTTCATCATCCTCATCATCGTCGGGCACAATGGCCCGAGCGGACGGTTTGGAGCTTGGGCGGGCGATTTTAATTGTTGAGCCTGCAGAAGGTGGCGCGACGTCCATATCCACATCGCCCTCGGCATCTTCCCCCTCTGCGTCGACATCCATGTCCTCCTCCCCCTCGGCATCCTCATCTTCGGGTTCTTCCATTTCATCATCCTCATCCTCGTCGTCATCCGGGCTTGAATCAACCACGTAGCTCTTTTTGCCTCCGCGATCACGTTTCCCATGGATGATTTCTCCTCCTTCAAATGGATCCGAGCGGCGGGACCCGCCCCGCGTCGCTTGGCGAGCTCTTGAAGAGGGCACCTTGACAGTCAGGCTTAAATCACCTGGCGAGGCGGGGCCATCACGGGAGACCCGATGGGAGCGGCGAGATGACATGGCCGAATTGCTATCGCCTGGTGTATCTGAGTCAGCCCACCTGGCATGTACAGAAATGACCTCCTTGGCCTTGGCCGCAGCCGAGCGGCGTGGACGTAGGGACATTATATTGCTACGCAGTGCAAAATAGAATGGTTTGTAGTTGGCGCTGATGCCTGCACGCTTGTGCTTTCTTGGCCCCGTCGATGAAATGTGGCAGTTGTGCTTTCTTATCGACTCCGAGACACAAGGTGTGTGTTGGAGGATAGGTAGTTGTGAATTGATAGAGAAGATAAAAAAAAAACAAGCAAACGGGTGTTGGCAATCTGTCAAGAGGCGATAGCGTTGCTGAAATTGGTTTACTCAGGTCAATGGCCCAATCAACACATTGGCTGAAACGGACCGTCGCAAGAGGCGTTTAGAGGGCGTGAGCCGCAGATAGTCCAAGCCAACAGAAGAGGTGGGCTCAGCAGCAGCGACCTGCCTCGTGTAATTGGGACGGAGCGAGCAGAGGGTAAAAATGAAGAGGACGACGTTGAGCAGGGTTGGGAAGTTGCTGCGTGCGCGTTGCAGTGCCAGGGGGGTGCAGCTCGTTGGTGCAAGGGCTGGTAGAAGGACAGGTTGATTGGCGGTGGTATGAGAGAGAGAGAGGAGGAGGTTAGGTGTTGGGGATGGTATTGGGCAAGGTCTTGTTCCGATGTAGAAGCGCGGCTGATGGAGATGAGATGTCTGCCTATGAACAGACGCACAGCGCTTGCTGCAAGAAACCAAAAGAGTGGCACAGAACGGCGTTGAGTCCAATCAGATGGTGTTTTGCGTCTCTTGTCTTGTGTCGTCCGTCTCCCTCACACCAAGCACCAAGGCCAAACCGAACCAGGAAGCGGCCACACACGTGTCGCACCGAGCATCAGCGCGGGCAGCTCAGAGGCGAGTAGCGGCATTGCATGGACAGATAGACACTTGTCCAAGCCCGCACAGACTCGCAGGGCCTGTGGTTGCACTGGCCGACTGATGTCATCTTCGGATCGCCATGCCTTGCTTGCCCTGGCCACGGTCGCAGGGGAGCGAATGGGATTTTTGGGATGCAACGATGCACGCAGACTCAAACGCCTCTCAACTTGCGCAGCCAATGCCGATGCCAATTGATCTCTCGCCGTCGCCCTGACACTTGATTCCTCAACTCCATCGCGAATTATTTTCCTCTTCGTCTTTCCCGCGCCTGCAACTCATCTCTCTTCTTGCTGCCCCTGATCTTTGCAAACAACGAGAGGAGAGCCGGAAAATTGCAATTGTCCTTTTACAAATAAAAAAAATGAATGAATGCATGAATGAAAAAAAAAAGAAAACGAAAATGGAAAATCAGAAGAAGCTGGAAAATGGCAACAACAAGACGAAGAAAACAACAACTTACAGGATGACCTCGTCCTTTATAACGATAGGCCTTCTCCTTTCCTGGTATACGAACCAGCTGGAACTCGATGAAACCTTGTGAGATAGGCCGGCGGTACAATCCACCAACCGAGCCCGTTCGATATTATCTATAACACACTCCCTTCGAAACCAGTAACAGACCGAGGCAGTGGCTCTATGACTGCAGGCTGGCGGACCAAAACAGAACAACGCCAATGAATCCTGCTCGCGCCAGTCTGAGGTTGGTGTAAATCAGCCACAAGCTGCTGTGCCAAGAAACTTCAGGCCTGGTTAAGGACTTGATTATGCTCTTCACGGATCAGCGCCTCCGCCCTTGAGTGAAACGCTGAAATGCAGGGCCTAGAACTGGGCTTGCTGAGAGATCCGCCTAGCCTTCAGCCACGAATGAATGGGCTCCGTAGAGTGGTTGGTCGAGGAGCGGTGTGGCTGTCTCACTGCGGAAGGAGTTACAAAGGGTAGCAATGACGAGCGCCCCAGACCTAGATCCGACTCCTTGTTTTCCGATTCGAGTAGGTTTTTGAATCTCGACCATGGGACGAGCTCTGGCGCGCAACAGATTGACCGCGGCTCCGTCTCGCCTTCCGGCCCACACTTTCGGCAGATACACACCGTTCTGTACGCTATAAAGATGACTAAGCAGTCGCGTATTGAACGGTCAGCTATCACTCCCAGACAAATTGCCCGTGGGTGCATGCCCGAGCCTCGGCATATGAGCCGTGATAACTGATCGCGATCAATCTCGTCTCTTCCATCCACACCTTCCCGCCAATTCCCCCCCCTCTCGTCACGGCGCGCTATATCAGCTCCATCAGGTGGCCTACCGATAGCTGGGCCGAACGCACAAAGCATGACGGAAGAGGAGGAGAAGCCAGATTCTGGTATTCCAGAGTGGCAGCGACCCCAAGAAGATGCGGAGGACAGCACCGCGACCACCGGCGACCAGGATAGAATAAAGGTTGCCCGCCGATTCTTGGACGATGAGAAAATCAAGACTTCTCCCAGGGAGAGTAAGATCGCCTTTCTCAGGGGCAAGGGCATAGATGAAGCCGACATAAAAGAACTCCTTGGGGAAGTAGAATTCTCACAGCCGCTCGCTTCAGCCGTGAGTATCCTCGGACCACCAGACTTCACACACTGTCGTCCCTGTTGACTAACTGTGCGATTCCTACTAGGCCGAAGAGTCCTCTAGATCCTCTCCTATTCATTCATCTTCGGAATCCTTACTATCGAACCATGACCGCGCTCCCATTGTCACGTACCCCGAGTTTCTCACCCCGAAAGCCGAATCTTCCCCGCCACTCCTGACCAAAAACCGCCTCGTCATAATTTTGCAACTTTTTGCGTTTATCTCAACTCTTGTGGTTGGATCGAGCCGCTTCATCCTCCGCCCGATGCTGGATCGCCTCACTGACTCTCGCATTGACCTGTATACATCCACAACCAAGGCCCTCGGCCCTTTGCTATCGAAGCTTGAGAAGTCGGTGTCACAGGTTCCGCCTCGAATCAAGACGCGCAACGATCCCGACCAGGATAGCGACTCCGACGACCCCAGCGAGATGTTCCACCACGATGTCGGTACTCAGACCTCTACCCCTCCTCCCTCTGTCCCCCTGACCCCCATGGTTAAACCCTCTGAGGCCCAAGCGACCCGTCTGGAGAGCTTGACACAATCGTTGAAAGATCTCGAGGGTGGGATACGCTCACAGTCTGATGGCCTGGGGGATGTGAAAACCCTCATCGACGTTTTCCGCGATGACCTGGATACATTGACCTACCCTACCACATCAGATTTGCCCGGGTATGACCTACTGTCGAGATCCCGGAAGTCGGAACCAGAAGACGAGATTCGTAAAGTCAGAGATAGCATTCGGCGCGTTAAAGGCGTTTTGCTCAGCACAAGGAGTTTCCCTTCGTCTATTAGGTGACCTGTCTCTTTTTTATCGGTCCAATCACATTATAGATAGGTATTCTAAGGATTTCCAGGATTTATTGTACAATTCATTCAGTCTTAAGCTGTTTATTTTGAGAACCTACGTGATAGATCGACCAACCCATTATCTGAGAATCCGTGCTTTGCTTATCCCAGGAGCAATGCCACAACCCCCTAATCCCGCCAACTATTTTGAAACATGACCCGTCATTTCTGTCTGCTTTGCGTGCTTGCCTTCTTTAATTTGCAGAATAGAAAATATTCTCTTCCAAGATTCGACACAAATGTGAGAGAAGGCCCTGTCTTCCTCCTGTTGGCGGGAGTACCACTCGTGTGTTGGGGGAAAGCTGTAGGTGAAGTTGCCATCGAACGATGGTTGAGAGGCAGCTCGCATAACCTCCCTGTAGAGATGGTTGTCGCATTGGCTTGGTTGGTTCAATTGGCGTCCTGGTGGAGGGTGAAAGATGATGTTCAGTTTCTGGCCGGGCTCAACCCTCTTCTCATCGATTATTGAGGACTGTCTCTTTTCAATCGGCTCCTCATTTTCCTCGACAGACCGCCATCCTCTGCTGGGCATTTTTTCCCTGGGCGCAGGAATCCATGCTCTCAACTCCTCTGCGAAAGCCTCTATTGTGTCCAGGCACACATCTAGAGGATGGCCATATGACGACTTGTAGGACCTATCTCGGCCGGCCAACCATACTTTGTCGAGCGGGAGATCCGGGTTCTTTGCCCGGTTCCCCTCAATGACCAGCTTGATTAATTCTTGTTGAGCCTCGATGAGGTCGCATTCATATATTCGGGGGCTATTAAGCAACCGTTTGCTGTATCCTGGGTCCCATATTAGCAATTCTGTTGATCTCCAGGGCCGCTTATGGGGCTCCCTGGGACGGAATATCGCTATCCATGGACGTCGTGTTGGATCTCGTATAGGGGTTCGATCCTTAGATGCTTCGTCTGATTTCCATATATTAGTAACCGTATAGAAGAAACCTATGTATGTGTTCTTCGGTCTAGTTTCATATTTGAGAGCATTGAAGAACGAAAACCAGGAGAAATAGGGACCAAATTCCGAGCCTATATCTCCAAAGCGCCAAGGCATGTCCAGATGCCAGTAGGAGACGGGTCGATTGTAAATTAGGGCCATCGAATGCTGATATCGTTGAGTTAGCATTTGGAGATGGGATTTGATGGCAGATGCACTGTCATTTTCAACGAGTTGAAGAGCTCCCCTGGGGACTGTCGGGGCACTTGTAACCCCTTGAGGGTTGCTGACGGATGGTGTCTGGGAGATTGTCACATTAAGTAACTGGCTTGCTGTATCGAGAGCCGCCTCGCGAGCCACACCCGGCTGATCCTCGTCCGCGTCGTCCGCATACTCCAAAATTTTCATTTCTCTCGTCATTTGGGATACTTCGTTACAGTTGGATCCCAGTACGAAGAATCTGCTCGCTGTGTCTAGGTAGTTGACGGTCCATGAACCGAACCAATTCACAAGGCTTTGTTCGTCATTCCCATCAATACTCTCAGGTGCGAATAGAAGAAAGTTATTAGACTCGCCTTCTTTCGCCGATTTTGCCATCAAGTCTTCAAGTTGCTGCCATAGACCTAGCCAGGCTTTGATATTTTGACTGTGAACTCGGGTTTGTCTAGTGGCCCGCCTATGAGCCTCTCCAATAGCCAGCTGCCGAACCCAGTCATTGACATCAAAACAAACCGCAAGCTTGGATCTATAGGATTTCCCAGTGGTAAGTAGATCATTCTTGAACCATCTGACAAAATCGTAGGCCTCTTGGGGTTGGGATAATATGAAGCTTGGCGTCATCATAAATACTTTGTGTGAAGGAAGAATCCTATAGAGTATGATATCCCCCACTTGCGATTTCTGCAACGAAGACGGGAATCTGCAAAACTGTGCCAAAGCTTGCTGAAATATAAAAACTGCATAGTTTCCGTTGCGTCCGGTTTCTCTCATCATCTCCGCTATATCTGGGAAAAGACGTATCTTCGATATAACATCCTCATGGATGATAATAGTGCCGATTCCTGTACCACGAAATCTAGCCCAATCTCCCGGGATGGATGCTGAGTATATGTGTAGATCAATCTTTGTCGAGACTCCGAGCCAAGTGGAAATAAATCTGGCTTCTTGTACCCTGCTCGGTGTTGGGAAGGCTATGAAAACATTATGAGACTGCACGCTTTGGTTCAACCGTAGCTGGGGGACTAATCTGTTGGAATCCAGCTGTAGGAAATGGCTCACACCCCGAGGAAGTGTCTGTGACTCCTGGGATATCTTCCTTGCAAATGAGTCCTTGTGCATGAGGGGTGTAGGCTCAAAAATGATAAACTTCAATAAATTGCCTGCATTGTGACTGGGAACAAGTTCAAAGTCCCAATCTGTGCACATGGCGGGGTAAATAATAATGCAGTATCTCTCTGAGTAACACATTACACCTTTTGAAGCCATATTAAGGCGCTTTGCGAGATTCTCAAATGCGCTATGGCCGGTAGGACACAACAAACTGCCGGATGCCAAGTTCTGCCCCTGACGAAGATTTTGACTCTGAGATCCAAAGTCCGATGCGATACACACATGGCCAAAAACTAAATGAGTACAGTTTATGAACTCAGAGAGCCAAGGATGCGAAGTCTGTTCTGGAATGCTTTTGAAAATGATGTCAATATGCTTGAGGGATTTTGGTCCAAACATGCACCGTTTCGTGACGCTTCGAGTTTCTTTACTGGTCCAGGGCTGTGGACTAGCAACGTGGGTATTTCTTGGTGGTGTTGGTGGCCTGAAAGTTGCCCCGGCTGCCTCCAAGGGGCTATTCATATCCTGATCTTCCCGTGGCAGGTGGGAGATACGAAAGTCTTCGAAGGCGAAGGGCTCAGTTTCTGATTCCATATGTGTCGGTTCCTGATAAGTGACAGAGTCATCAAAACGAACCGACTTCTTTCTTTTAAGCGTCCTCGGTCGGGGTTCAGCTTCATTATCCTGGCCTTTATAAGTAGAGCCTGGAGCTGATAGTATTGGCGGGTTTTGTGAGGCCCCAATCAAGTTTTTGGGCTTTGTGGATGGTGGGATCTCCAAAGACCTCGTGGGCTGGCCGGTATCCAAGTCTCCAGTTCGAACTTTGGGATCAAGAGAAATGAGCCGTTTTGGTATTTGCGTAGGGGCACTGTCTTCTTTATCTCTCCGCCCCTGCCGGATAAGTCTTTGTTGCCGAAGATTAACAAGCTTAGGCTCCTTGGAAATGTCAGACGCAGCGTCAAGGAGAGTCGGACGCGCTTTTCTAGTGCTTCCACCTGCGAATACATTCACTGGTACACCGCCACCGATGGTGTTGATGATCCTATTCCCCCGAGACTTGAGACCGGTAGGCTTGTCATTACCAGATCTGGATAAGCTATTTGGCCAACCTTCCGTGTTTGAAGTCGAGTGATTCTTCTTACTCTGGGCTGGTTGACTATGTACCGAGCTTGGGACGGGTTTGGTAGGAGGCGCAGCAGCAGCAAGGGGTGTCTTTGGCGCCTTCGGCGTTAACTCTTGGGTTGGGTTTGGCGCTGCATTTGGTAGTGAGGATATAGCAAAGGCTAAGGGGAGGTTTGGGGCAGGCTCGGGACCAGGAGCTTGAGCATTGCCACTGATAGGGGTGGAAGAAGGATGTATCCTTTGTGATTCGTCAGAAGGTTTTTGAGGTCCTTGTTTACTGGCCATGTCATAATCAGGCTCGGTGGAACTCAAAGGGTTGGCCTGTAAACTGTTCGATGCGGTATTGTCGGGCCTTTCCCGTTTACGGCCCTTCTCATCCTCACTGTCATCATCCTCATCGTCATCATCATCGTCTTCGCCCGACATGTCTTCCTCGCCTGAACTTTCATCCCTGGTTTCAAACTCGGGATAGAAATCCAGGGTCACCCCCACCAACTCTTCCACGGATTGTACCCATGTGGATGGTGCCAGCCCCATGCGCAACCGTTTCTTGTTGCGCTTCTCATGGCGGGCGCCCTTTGCATGGAGTAGCTCCGACAACGCGTTTCGCCAAATGTTGAGATCGAATCTCTCCTCCTCTCCACGCTCTTGTCTTACCTTTCGTTTTCTCCAAGTTCGTAAGAGGTGTCCTTTAACGTGAGTCCTCGGCTCCCATGTTGCCTCGGCCAGCGGGTATCCTGTCCATTCAACGAGCCAGTGCTTGACACCATTCACCCTTCCTTCCGCAATTATGCCTTCGGCTGTCCATTCTTCATCCGAGTTGATTTCATCTGCGATCGTAGAGGTGAGTGAAAGATTGTCATCATCTGCGGGATCCGCATCTGGCATCTCAACGTCATTAGGAGTGGAAACCATGGCTGTCGCCCGTGAGGAGGTAAAGGGCTCCCCAGAGTCTTATACCAATTCACTCAACAGATAAGAATAAGGGAGGAGAAACGTTAAGGTCGTCCAAAGCCTTTGATGGTGCGTGAACAGAGCCTGTGAGTTTGAAGCTGACGACGAGAAGAGCGGGAGAGAAAAACATTAAAATCTTCCCTGTAGTAGAGAAATAGAACAATAAGCATGCAGGCATCAGGATTCCAGATCATCGAAATGTGTATTGTGGACTGTGACACAGCACTTCTTGGATGTCGAATGCTGGATTCCCAACACGCTCAGCACCATGCACGCGCCTGCCTCTGTAGTGCATTATCGATAAAAAAGGCCTAATCGGATCGTTATCGTAGCACGTCGAGCGTAACTGGCGGGGTACTCTGGTTTCTATGACAACCTTGCAGGCAGTTTTATGAAATCACGGATGGCTCATTTTAGTATTTGGCAGCTCTTCCAACATAATATACCGCCTATTATCATATCGTGAGGATGAGAGCGAATGAAAGCCGAATTAGCACTGCCATAGTCGGCGCATGATGCTCGTAGGTAGGTAAAGTACCTGTACACCAGCATCTTCCCACAGCGCTACCGTGCAGGTAACCCCACGCCTTGGTTGGGTCAATCTTTGATAGGCCAACCACTCACCATCCAGGCGCAGGGTTCCGTTCAACCTAATAATAGGAGATTCCTCCTTTGTCTGACGGCGTGGAAGTTTCAGGCTGCTACCCACTCTGCGGCAGATGTATTATCATTCTGTTTCTGTAGTGGCAGTAATACTAGCTAGTAAGCCAAGTATCCATGTATTTTGAGCATCCATCGGCAATCCGCCATCAATGGCTGTGCCTGTTGGCCAAAGTGTCGGCTCATTACAAAACTGATCCCAGCTACTTGACTCTAGGTCCCCGTCCAAGATCTTGGAAGGAAATAATACCCCACCCAAACCTGGGCCAAAAAGAGGTAGAGATGCCTGTTTGAGATTATACTGCCTTGGAGGTAGATAGTGCGCGTATTAGTACCTGGCTGGTTAAAACGGTGCTGCCTTGGAGAGTTGTATGCACTATTAATTACTCGTCCCTGGGTACAAGTCGGCTGGCACGCAGGCAGCCCTTCAATAGCACACGAAATTACTACCTACCTTAGGTAGGTAACCTGAGGTACATATGTAGCTGTAACTGTAAAAATGGGCTGATAGGAGAGTTGTACCCATTTTGCTGCCCGCTTGTACTGCGAACCTCATAGGTGGGGTATTGAAGCCTCTGAGTACTTCTGCAGATAACGTCATGCGACTGAGGAGGATGGTGTCGGGGCTCAAGAATATAGTCAGATTGGGGTACGGGTGAGGCACCGAGTACATGAGTATTTTTGGTGCCCTCCTTCCATTGCATCAAAAAGTTGACAGCTTGATCATGGTGCATGTGACGTTTGGGAATAAGTGCTGACAGAAGGTACCTAGGCCCGCTTAGTACCAACGCGCTAGGTGGCATGTACCTTTGGTAGTAGCAAGTGTCGCCTATCTACGGCTAATAGCCACGAGTCTTACGCCAGGACTTACGGCGCATCCCTCCTCTCTCCACATCCTCTCTCAAATGCCAAACTGCCAGCTCTGCCTCTAACTATCCTGATCAAGAATCACAACTACACACAACCACTCAGATCAACACCATCAACAAACAACAAACCCCAACATCAACATGGCCAACGACGAATACGATGTATGTTATCCTAATCTCCATGCTGTCTGCTATTCTTGACGCTTTTGAGAGAGCTCCTGCTGACCTGCCTTCTTCGCTACCCAGTTCCTGTTCAAAGGTGCGAAAGCAGAATCCCCCCCCCCCTTATTTGACAGTAGACCGCGTCGCCTCAGCGCATCACCGCTAATCATTCCCTCGGATCTAGTCGTCCTCATCGGAGACTCTGGCGTCGGAAAATCTAACCTTTTGAGCCGATTTACCCGCAACGAGTTCAACATCGACTCCAAATCCACCATCGGTGTCGAGTTCGCAACCCGCTCAATTCAGGTCGACTCCAAGACCATCAAAGCTCAGATTTGGGACACTGCTGGACAAGAGCGTTACCGTGCCATCACCTCCGCATACTACCGCGGTGCGGTTGGAGCCCTCCTCGTCTACGATATCAGCAAGCACCAGACTTACGAAAACGTGACGCGCTGGCTCAAGGAGCTTCGAGATCATGCCGATGCCAACATCGTCATTATGCTCGTCGGAAACAAGAGCGATTTGAGGCATCTGCGGGCGGTGCCAACTGAGGAAGCCAAGGCATTTGCCAGTATGTCACCGCCATTATCTGACGGTTGCGACTGAAATTGTTAACCAGTGTTTGCTAGGCGAGAACCATCTATCGTTCATTGAAACCTCCGCCCTCGACGCCAGCAATGTCGAGCTAGCATTCCAGAATATCCTGACAGGTATGTTTGATACATCTGGCGCATTCACGTCATTTGCCGCTGACCCTATGTTTCTACAGAGATCTATCGCATTGTCTCCAGCAAGGCTCTCGACAGCGGCGATGCACAGGCTACGATCAATGCCGGCATTACGTTGAGCAAGACTACCACTGACGACGATGCTTCGAAGGGCGGGAAATGCTGTTAAATCTGTCTTCTTGTTTCGGACGAATCGCAGGGTTATTGGGGGTAGACATTCATCAGGCGTCTCACCATGTTCCCGATATATTCTTTGTGCCATGTAATGAGGGAACTCGGCGCAGTTCGTTAGGGAGGACGAGATCACGCTGTTTGTTTTTTATTTTCTTTGATATGAGAGGGCGCCAACCATTCCGACTTTCTTCTATTCGACAACATGCTCCAACAATGACCTGCGCGGGGGGGTTCGGATGCATGCAATGATCACTACCTATAACCCTATACCTGACGTAGCTGAATGAATTCGTTAATGCCTGGTTTTAAAACGCTTCGCGTGCATTCCCTTGATACTGAGCGTCCGCTTGCTCTAGGCAACCATGAAGGAGACAGCACATTGATGCCACATCTTACTTGATGCCTGGACCCCTAGCAGCACTGCCCCCGCCATCCACCTACACAACGGAGTTCACCGTACGCAAAACGGAGGTACTTCTGGGATGTAGACTAATCAATGCCGCCAAGAGCATACATAATACTCGCAACAGAAGATTCAACCAACCTCTAAGGGGGGTCCTAAAAGAATGGGAGAATGGATTGTTGTTCAATTGCCTGGCATTTAGAAAGACACACATAGCGACAGGGGAACTTAATTGTTGTGATTGTTGCTGCTCTGATGGTACCTTACCTTCCTTTGGAATGGTGGAGTCTCGCCGGGCAAGGTATCCACAACGATAAACTCTTATCGATGCCTCCACTCAAATGTTTTTTTTCTTAGCCACTCTCCCATCATCAGTTGCGAACCACTTCAATTATCTTTTCCCGTTAGCGACTCTGCACCATTAGTCGTGAGATTGTTACGATAAGTGTGTCGCAAACAATGGCAGCAGTATATAAGTCCCTGTCCAAGAAGGACAGCAAGAAATCCACGACAACAGACGACAATGGCATCAAGAAGAACAAGCAGCGAGTTCTGGTTCTGTCGTCTCGAGGCGTCACATTCCGGTATGATATCTTGCTCGAAACCTGACTCTTTTTACCTAACATATGTAGACACCGCCATCTTCTGAACGATCTTGCTTCTATGCTCCCGCACGGCCGCAAGGATGCTAAATTCGACTCCAAAAGCAAGCTTTACGAACTGAATAGCTTGTGCGAACTTTTCAATTGCAACAATTGCCTGTTCTTCGAAGCGAGGAAAGGTCAGGACCTGTACTTGCATTGCTCTTCTGTACCCAACGGGCCAACCATCAAAGTTCGTATTTCAACTCCCGAAAAATCCTTGGCCGACGTCAATTACACATCTCACTTGTTTCCCGCACCATACCTCTTGATACTCAGTTTTGTTGAACTTGCTAACTTCTTCCCAGTTTCACGTCCAGAATTGTGAGAAGCCATCGGCTGTTTCCTATATACCAGCCACCCAATGCTAACAGTCGCTGCTTTAGTGCACACAATGGAGGAACTTCATTTCACTGGCAATTGCCTCAAGGGATCCCGGCCGATTCTCTCATTCGATGCCGCCTTCGATAAACAGCCGCATCTGCAAGTCATTCGAGCGCAATTCCAGCGTATATTCGGCGTTCCCCAAGGGGCTCGAAAGTCGAAACCCTTTATCGATCATGTCATGAGCTTCAGTCTTATTGATGGGAAGATTTGGGTTAGGAACTATCAGATTAATGAGGAAGAGGCCTCGAAAGTAAAGTCTGCCGAAGCCGAAACCGACGCAACCAAGGATACCGACCTCAGCCTCATCGAAATCGGACCCAGATTCGTGCTCACTCCCATCTATATATCTGAGGGCTCTTTCGGAGGGCCGCTCATTTTTTCCAACAAGAGTTTCGTTACGCCAAATCAAGTCCGATCGGATATGAGAAAACTGAAGGCTACAAGGCACAATGGTAGGTCGGAGCAGACGCGGGAGAGGCTTTCGAAGAAGGGAGATCTTGGTCTCCGGTCAAACATTGGACACGAAAGGCAGTCAGACGGAACGGATACAAAGATGCTGTTTGCGTAGGAGATTTGATAACACGAGTAAATATGCCGTCGGCGGAGGAGTTGGCGTTCGGAAAACGGTCTCAAAATTGTATTGTATCCTGTTCCATTTGCCTAGTGGCTTCACTCTACCTCCATACCTACCTAAGTATGTACTGTATGTAGGTAATCAAGCTTGTGGCTGGCCGTGGTGAGTGCCCGGCGAAATTTCGGCTAATTGATATTTACTTCTTATCTACGACCTCCTATCTAAACGACATCATGTCAACATAGATCCCCTTGCCGTCATTGCTCCAAACACAGAAATCTTCGTTCTTGGACCATCAATCATGGCTGAGAGGGGTTTTCACGCTTCTTCCATAATGGACACTTTCAAACTACTTTCGCAATATATCCGCCTTTCCGTTTCAAGCCCCAACGCTGGGGTTGTCGGACAGTAGGCATTTGGGGATTCGTGGTTTCTCGGTTTTACAACCGTGGAGCCTTCAGGGAGTCAGAGCCTCCAATCCTGCTACGTACGCGTAGTTATTAGCTGCTGATATTCTGTTGTTGAAATCTCTCATTTTGGGACGGGGCTTTCACTCGCAGCAGCGCGTTCGTCTCACTATACCGCGCCGTTGAGCTTTCAGCGTTTGTATTTTTCTTACCCAGTTACCCCAAGGATTTTGACCACTCATTCTATCTGTAAGTAAAGTATTTACCTGTCTCTCGCGTTCCATCTACTTACGTTCGGTAGCTTGAGTATTTACTGCCAGTCAGAGGAGCCGCATGACCTACCATCAGACCATTGTCTCTCTCATATCTGGCCATTTTCAGTCTTCAACTGAACATTCCAGTCATTTACTGCAATTCTCAGCAGGGGCTATCACCACTTACTCCCGATCGTCGGCGAAAAGCTCACTTCACCATGGAGTCAACCATTGGCCAGGCCCAAAGTCTCTTGGGTCTGCCAAGTGAGATTGTGCTCGACATTTATCAGCAGCTCGATGTGGGAAGCATCTATCAACTCTGTCTGGCAAGTCGATATTTCTATGAGCTCTTCATCAGCAACAAGGCGACTGTGTTGTTACCTGTGATGGCACGTGAATTTAGTCCATTTCATGAACTTCTTCAGGTTTACACAGCATCAGCGGATGATCTCATTTGCACTCAAGGAGCCGCTTATCAACCTCGTAAGGTTATATTCAAGCGCTTCCAAGGGGATGTTGGAATTCAGCTGGCACCGCCCCCAGCACCGGCCATGTCCAACATCGACCATATCGCTCGTGGCTTCACTCAGGTCGGCAAAGCTGACGCAGGGCTTCTGAATCAGAAGACACATGTTTTGAGAGAATCAGACCTTGGTCCAATTATCAAGCATTGTCAGCTCGTTCGCAAGTGGGAAGAATTGTTTCCTCAGATGCGATGGTTCTACGATCCCGAGCGATGTCGTCTTCTGCGGTTGCATGAGAAGGAGCGGTTTCGCAAGGCTCTATATCGCTGGTGGCTTTATGGGATTTACTTCCATGGCGATTTGCCGCGACCTCGAGTTGGCCTTCCGGAACCACATGTTGATGATATCCGGATCAGCCAGATGCGATATCATTCGACCAGTGATTTGTTAGAGTTAATGGATCTGGTGGAGACGATGAAGGATGTTGTTTTGCATTACATCTGCCCTCGTCTGGATCCCAATGATCAACACCACGTAAGTATTATATCATGATTTTCTATACAGAACCTGACTAACATTGCCTTTTTCCCAAGTCGTCTGATCAGCCGGCTCTGATTGATAGCGTTGACAGAGCGCAGTCATTGACCGATAGCTGGATGGACCAAAGC